TTTGATTATATAGGTTGCATCAAATTTAATGAAATCTTTCCACCACAAACAAAATCTATTGAAACTGGAAATTTGTACATGACTATCTATTGACTGTTTGTATTAGTTATTATATTATTGTACTGCTGTTAACTAACTAATATGTAACAATAAAAGGAAATCCTGAAACTAATAAAAACCAAAAACAAGTAAATCCACTCTGCATCCCTCTAAAGTGGATTTAGTAATCAAATAAGTAAGGATCTTCCATTGTTTGGCAACATTAACTGATGCAGTGAGTAGTTTCCCATAATCACACGAGAAGACATCCTCTGTGGTCATGTTACTCCATTTCAGAAGACAAATTATTGCATCAAGCAAAGAAAACTAAGGAGACAGATGAAAATACTAAACCTGGGAACTGTTCAATGCACGTGGTGGACTATTATCTTGGAAGAAGAAATGTGATCTGGAAAATGAAGATTGGATTTTAGAACCTCTCACAGCCTCATCTGTTGTAGCAGATGACACCCTGAGCCTGATTCTTCTGGAGGTTTCTTCCCGTTAAAAGGGAGTTTTTCCTTCCCAACGTCGCCAAGTGCTTGGGTGGGTTGTATAATTGTTGGGGTTTTCTCTTTGTTCTTGTTTGTTTGCCTTGAGGCACCTGTTGTTCTGATTTGATGCTACATGAATTGAATTAGCTTAACTGAACTGAATTGAACTGAACTGGAAAAAAAGGTCATATGGTCCTAGGAGCCCAAATTTACCCTGTTCCAGAATGTTGGTTGTATCAAGGTAAGAAGACAGATGCACCACGTTTAGTGACTACTGTATAAGCTTCATCTACCTGGGAAGCATAGTCAACAGAGATGGTGGTGCAGATGAAGACGTTAGGAGCCGGATCAACAAAGCAAGGCTTGCATTCAACTCCCTGTGACCTATCTGGAACTCCAAAGTCTTATCCCAGCGCAGCAAGATCCGCTTTCACCAATGTGAAAGCAGTCCTCCTGTATGGGTCCGAAATGTAGCGGGTGACCAACACCATTACCAGCAAGATACAGATTTTCATCACCAAGTGCTTGCGACACATCCTTAACATCAGATGGCCTGAGAAGATCTCGGACACAGACATGTGGAAGAGAACCAGCCAGAACCCAGTCGGTCAAGACATCAAGAAGAGAAAATAGGGCTGGATAAGCCACACACTCCAAAAACCATCCGACAAAGTCACAAGGCAAGCACTGGACTGGAACCCACAAGGAAAAAGGAAAGTGGGGAGACCCAAACAGACGTGGAGAAGATCTGTCGAGAGTGAAGTGAAGGCCGCCAGAATGACGTGGACCCAGCTGAAGAGAACGACCCAGAACAGAGTCCATTGGCGTGGTGTTGTGGCCCTAAGCTCCACCAGGACTCTACAGGAAAATTGATTGATTGATTGATTGATTGATTGATTGTATAAACTGGGACACTTCAGGTCTAGCTTCCGCAACATTCCCTAAAAATGAGGTTACCCATTGCTTCTTTCATGTCAACATAAATACACTGAATGACCAGGTTTTCCTATGAATTGATTTTGTTCTTCCCTGAAGACTTTGGGCTGAAATTGAGAATAATTTGGAGAAAACCTCATGCAGCAAAAGTTGTGACACTGTACAAGCTTAAGCTAAACAATGCCATGGTGAATGTGCCCCATAAGGCAGCCCAGTGAAACAGAGTGATTTTTTGTTAATAAATCAGGTGGTGTATAACAACTTAAATCATGAAAACATCACATAAAGGAGAACAAATATCTCATTAGAATCATGTGACTTTTTTGGCTTGTCGCCATTGCAAGCCAAAGACCTGAAAACTGCTGATCATCAGCTACCAGTGAAACAGAAGAGGAGGATACACAAGTGTACCACATGAGACACAAGATTTATGTTCTACTTAGTTTCATAAGACATTTTCAAAGATAGATAAATTAAAAATTCAGCCCACTCTATAACTTTAGTAACTTGTTCCACATCGTCCAGCACAAACGTTTGCTAGGACCTGGTCACCCTACCGGGACCTCAACCAAAAGAGCTCCCACTGGCTACAGAACATGATAACATGACATAGCATAAAACTTTTGAGGATGCACCAGTTTACTGGCCAGTCATTACTCACCTTACTGACTGCCAGCATTAAACGATGTGGACTGGATTTGTCCTCAATAGCACCATGAAGGGCTGAAACACCTGTACACAGTTTTCCCAGCACAAAAGCTTGAATTAATAACAAGCAAACACCATCTGTATAGGACAGGACTTGTTAAAAAATTAAAAAATAAATAAACAATAGGAAAATTACAAAGAGGAAGTTCATGTCACGATAGAGGTCAAACTAAGGCAAATTACTGCATCCAATAAGGGCTATGACATAAAATAATAACAGCCTGGCACAGAGGCCAGATAACAACCCACTCTCATGGAGGTGGCAGATGCAGCAATACATCTGTAGTAGCCACACAAACAGCATCACAAAATTCAGCAACACTCGTTACTTGTAATATATTGATCATTTCCATTTTTACAGTGCTACGTAAAGAGTGGTGAAGCTCATGAAAATAAGAGCATATCACAAATTAAAAGGACATTTACTGGTGTCCCTTTTTTCATTTTGACCAACTCAGAACTCAAACTTGACTTGCCTGAATGTAAAGCATGTTAAAAACACAAAGCAGTGTCCACGGTTGTGTCCTTTTAGGACTATTTATATCCTTTGTTAAGATTAATTTGATGACAAATATAACTTAGAAAAAGGTACTATTTCTGTATCCAAGCATGAAGACTCATGCTTGTTTGGTTTTATTTTATATGTGACTTAAAGCTCTGCACATTTCCCAAAAGTCCGGGGAATCAAGCTCAGACTGCATTTTACCCTTAGCACAAATCAAATACTCGGTTAACAACTGTGGCGAACGACGACACAACAAATTGTCACATATGACACATCAAAACAAGAGCATGCTTTGAAATTCTGAGCATTTCTGCTACTTCTGCAACTATTATGATACTATTGTGATAGTTGTAGAATGTAAGTACCTCTCCTCTGATTGTCCACGACTGAGCTGTCCAAAGTTTTGATGGTGTTCAGCAGTAGTCTGTGTTCATCAACAGAAGGGTCAGTGAGAAAGGTTGTGGAAGATTGCAGTGTAGATACACCATTAACCAGAACTAAGACATAATGGCAGAGACTGAAATGATTAACTAGCAATGAGCGCTACCAATTTTGTAAAGCAGAAGAAAAGTGAGTAAAAAACTGACAGCTGTTTATAAAGTGTTGCCTTGTCCTGATTGTGAGCTAAATAAATGTGATCTCAGTGAAAACAGCCAAAAAAGTTTTTAGCTACTTCTTCAGCTTTTGCAAATTTTACTAAGCCCTGCCGTGTTGCTAGGCAAGTTAACCATTTTACTGCAAGTTATTTTGAATTTGATACTGTCTGCTAAAACGTTGGCTGAAAATAGGCAAAAAGTTCACTTTACAGCATTTTTTTTTAAATAGATTATTTTTAATTTCAGACAAAATTAAAAACAAACAAACAAACAAATGAGACAACTTGTACCTTTTTTGTTGTTTGCTAAACAGGTTTCTATGGAAGATTGTTTCCACCAATGGAAAAGAAAATGTCGTCTGTAAGTCGTTTAGGTATCTTAAAATTTGAATTACTCAGAAATATGTCAAAATTTGGAGACAACTGAAATTTAATTAATTCTGCCCGGCATTTGTTTTTCAGTAGCTGAAGCAATTTTCCAAAGATCTCCAGAGTGTATTTAATTACATTTTTACAATTTTACAAATCTGCTAATGGAAGAGGTTACCTTTTGGGCCTTCTGAAAAAATAGTTTTATTTTATATTATTTTTAGCTGCTTACAGTAATGTTATAGAACAATGCAAATATGATGTATTTTGCAAAAGTAATTACATTATATCGAAACCGGGGTAATGTATTTGCGCTGTATAATGAAATGTAACTTTTTATAATAAGTTACATTACACAGCTAAATGTCCAAAACTGTGACCTTCATTCAATTTGATTATCTTATATAAAATAAGAAGCAAACAGGCCTCGCCTGGTACATCTTGTCTTTTGAGGCAATGAAAATGGGGGATTGTGTGGAAAAGGTATCTGTAGTTCCTAAACAACTAATGTTGCACTTTTGTAAAAGCCTTTAAATTAAAGTCTGCGTTTTGATTACATATTTTCTTGAAATAAAATCCCCTGTGGTGGCGAACAGAAGCAAAACTACAAAAACAGTTTGTTGTTGCTCAAAAACTTATGGACCATCTCATCTGAGTGTGAAGCTGGAAAAACAACCCAGCACTTTGGGTTACAGTACATTACCCAGCTCCCCAGAAAACAACCCAAACTGACCCAAATCAAGCAGCCTCGATGGCTGGGTTAGAAAATTAACACAACAAATCATGGTGTGCGTTTATGTTGTTTTGACTTCTTGGTACAGCACCTTGAATCTATACCAGTCTGTTAATGTACGCTTTAGAAAGAAAATAGCCTTTTCCTTTAAATATTATTCATTTATTTATATCTATATTACAAGAAGAGAAAAAGTATTTGTGGGTGAAAATATGGAACTGTGTACAACTGTTCAGTCAAACAGTAACATTTACTTGAAATGATAACAAATAAATAATGAAATCCAAACTTTAACTGAATAAAAATCTGATGCATGGAAAAATAGTCAGAATGATAAAACTACTTTAAAAACATGATGTATGTTGCATCTGTTCTTCCTTCCTTAGACTGAAGAAACGACTGCCTGACTGCAGGACCTGGAAAATCATTAACAGAGCAAGTCCTTAACTCTGGCTCCCTCTGGTAGCTGAAAAAGTGGACTACGCCCACACAGCCGACTAAGGAAAAGATAACACTACTTCTCCCAGGTGCACATTTTAAAATAATTGTATGAAACTTTAACTATAACAGACTGAAAGCTTCATTACATCCATTAAAAAAAAATATATCTCTAACACATTCTGAGTTCTGAAACCTGTTTATTAATCCACTGATGCGTCTGCTCGTGGTTTCAAAAGCAACTTCAATACAACACAGCCAGCATTTTAACCTCAGGATAGAAATCTCGTAAAAACACACACCCACACACGTTCACTCTTAAGAAAATGCATAAAAACAGACGCACAATCCTTCATCGTCTTCAGTTCAGGAGCCTGACGATCACGCGGCAGCACGAACACACACAGGCCTTCAATAGCAGCTTTTTGTACAGCAAACAGGAAATCAGTACCACACGTTGTATCTATTAATTAAAGGGGCATTTCAGCTAATACATCAGTTTGTGGAAGGGCTTTAAAAATTAGGACAGTGAGAAATAAAAGAAAAACTTTAACATTGGATTAGCAATCATTTGTTTAGAGCACTTTATTAGGAACACCTGGGCAGCCCGCTTGCTCGTTCATACAGGTGAACCAGCTGGACACAACGTTTGAAAACTTCACAATAACACCACTGACATAACAGCAAACAGGCTGATCAGTCAAATTTATCTGTAACCTTGATACATGGTGTCTTTTTAGTAAGTTAATCCTGAGATACGAGCTCACATAGGTGGAAAGATTATTTACAGAAAGAATTAAAAAGTCATTTCATAATATGTTTGTTATTTACACAATATCATTTAACATTTTCACGCAGCTCTACAATAACTGAAAGTGTAGCGGATTGGTCAAAGTTACAAAGATGTCGGTGTTCCTAATAAAATGCTCACTGAGGGTCAAAGATCTACAGCTGTAAAGGGCACAAAAATATTTTAAAACATGAGTGAAAGAGAGTCTCAGTTCGGAGCTGCGATTGAAGTTTTTGCCAACGTGAGATGCAGAGAGAAAGACAAAATACGTGAATCAACTCTGTATGTAGTTTGTGTACAGCACTGTAAAGTAGGGCTGTTCGATATAACGATATATATCGGATGACGATATAAAAACATTTATATTTATATTTATTTTAGAAAACGGCGGCTGTTATAACTTATGTCTAAAAATGTATCGTTTCATGCATCGGTTAAAACACTCGACTCCAGCTACATGACGCGCAGCTGGAAACACTTCACACGAGGCGAGCTGCCCGAGATTCACCGAATTTACAGAAAATGTTACATTTTTGTGATTTATATCGTTATCGGACGATAGAATTCTTATATCGGGATATGAGATTTTGGTCATATCGCACAGCCCTACTGTAAAATCATTCATACAGAGTGCACCTAGAGACTTTCTTTTGATGTATTAGTACAGGATAATTCATGATTTGTCAATAAATACTGAGAAATGGTTCTCACGTATCCCTAAAGTGTTTATGTTTTTGGTCTAAGAATGATGTCGAGCCCAGAAATCACAATTCAAGTCTTTTTCACGTTTGTGGCCTCAAAAGTACAAACATTATGAATACCAATAGAAAAACTGGTCCCAAGCTATGATAACCACATCATCCTTTAAGTTCCAATGGAGACTCTACTAAAAACCGTTAAATGACTGAAGTGGGGGTAAAAAGGAGCGAAATATTGTACGTAACTGATTATACATCTGATTTCTCCCTCATGAAACCTGAAAAATGACTTCAAAACATGTAACAGCGCAGGATTTCAATGACTTGAACCTCAGTTTTAACACTTCCAGAAGCTGCTTTGACTCAGCAGGTTTCACTCTGGATGACTGATCCACATCCAGGACTCACAGCTCCGTCTTCTGCCCAGACAGAGGCACCTGCGGCTGGATCTCCTCGTCAGACGACACCCCTCCGTCCGTCTTCTCCACCGGAGATTTGCTCTTTTTCTTCTTCTTCACCTTCTTCTCCTTCTTCTTCTTGCTCGCCTTCTCTCCCTCCGAGCTGCCGTCTGCTCCTCCCTCGCCTCCTTCCTCACCTTTGCCCTTGCCCTTCTTCCCTCCCTTCTTCTTTTTCTTCTTCTTCTTGTCTTCTGCAATCGCTGCCTGGTCTCCCTTCTTCCAGTTCTCGTTCAGGCAGGCTGGAGAGAGAAATGGAAGGAGAAGCGTGGCGGGAAAATAAGATCGGGAAAACAGAAAGCAAGGCAAAGAGAAATATACAAATCTGAAAGTCACGACAATTATTTTATTGCACTTATTTTGATTTCAAAATTATTATTATTTTTGTAATTACAATATTTGTTTTGTCATTGAGGATTCTATTGTTTTTATTTTGCTCTTTACTACACTGATGGTGTAAAGGTCTCAAAAACTCAGGTGAATACCAGAGGGAGCCATGTGAGAAGGGAAAGAAAGGGGTGCAAAATTAAACAATCAGGAATCATGAATTACAAAAAACAACAACATGGATGTAACATCAGAGTTGTGTGTACGAGCGTTACCTCTGTCCTGTCCTTTGAGCACGTGTTTCTCGCACAGGTATGTGGTCAGGTCCTCCTCCTGGCTTCCTTTATACCAGTCCTCAATCACGTCCTCGTACTGCTCTATCATCACATCACACTGACCGCACACACACAAATTAAATTTAAAAGATGAAAATTTGACTATGTTTGGAGTTTAATTTTGGTTCCTTTGGGAATGTTTAAATAAATATATAAACACACCTGTTTTTTAAGGTCGGCCACTTCAGCTGACGTCTCGTTCCACAGCTCGTAGGGAATGTCCATCACCACGTTCACTCCTTTATTCACCAACCCATGCAGGGTGGAGAAGGTCTCCGACATGCCCTATGCCCGACGACACATTTAAAACTACAAATATGGACGACTGCATAGAAACCAAACTACGTTAAAAAGAAGCTAGACAATCATCGTCATACACTGATGACGATATGTGCTGTTTTGCTGCTGCAACAGACTGAGCATTAAAATCAAACCACCGACCTGATGATTAGCAGATGATCTGCCCTACCTGTGAGCCACCGCTACTCCAAAAATGAGGAAAACAGCCCTCTGATTGGACCTCTAAAGATTTTCCCAGTGAGTTTAAGGACTCAGTCACTTATTTGGGGTCTTACTGAATGAAACTTTAATCCAGTTTTATCACTGTATAATTTTACTGTTCTCTAAGTGTCAGCAAAGAGGGTAATCTGCAGTAAGCTCATTGGCTAACGGCCTGGGATCACAACTAGAGTGTGAAGCTTCACAGTCAGCACGTACAGTTTCAAACACCGAGAAGACGTCTATGGTCGGAGTTCAACTTCCATTGAATTCAGTTTTTGTGAACATTTCCTTTTATTTTCAGCAGTTTTCATAAACAGTAAAGCCGATCGAAAAAGTTTCAGGGTTTTAATGAGAACAGCTCAATATGCAGTCATTACATGTGAAGAAGCAACGGTGACAGCATGACTACATTCAGCTAAAAAACATTTTATGAAACAAACACGCAGCTTCACGTGTTGTCAACTATGAGCTGAAAAACAAGATGCTTGAAAACCAAACCCTAAAAATACTGATTCTTGCAGAAAGTGTCACGCGTCACATCCAGGGTGTTTAAAAATAACCGTTACACTGACCTTGGCAAAACGGTTGCTGCCACTTCTCTCTTTGTGCAGATTGTACTCCAGCAGCCTTTGACACACATTTTCTACAACCTCGATGAATCTCAGGTCTCTGAGGAGAAACACACATTAAACATCCCAGCAGGCGACAGAGTTAAAGCTTTTTTCTCCCTGTACCTTCTGTTTGGATTTGCCCTTTTTTTGTTTTGTCTGTTATCACCTCAGGATAAAACCATAGACCTCCTTTAAGTATAGGGGTACTTTCATAGCATCCAGGATACCAGCTGAGAAATGCCTTTAGTGTGGAGACGCGCTGACATGAAAACAAAGAGCATCGAGGAGCAGAAAACTTAAATGAAAAAGCTCTGTAATGTTACTTTGACACGGTCCATAAAATGAAGTCAGCGGTGACATGTGATCAGGTTTTTGGTTCACGATCCACAGTAAAGTGGCCTTTATAGCAACCCCTCAGCTCAGGGCCTGAGCTGAGGGGTTTCTAGAAGAACTAGAAGGAACAACAAGAAAAAAGCAGTCCTACATATTTGTTTACTAGCCCGCCTTGCATCCTAAAACATCCTGAGACACCCTCCCTCAGCCTGGTTGTGCTGGAGGTTTCTTCCTGTTAAAAGGGAGTTTTTCCTTCCCACTATCACCAAGTGCTTGCTCAAAGGGGGCCAGCTGATTGTGGGGGTTTAAACCTTACAATATAAAGCACCTTGAGGGACCTTTTGTTGTGATTTGGTGCTATAAATTCAATAAAACTGATTCTGTGTCCCCGCCCACGACCTAGAACTGGATAAGTGGTTGTAACAAAATGTGATGGATGGACTTAATCACAGCTGTATTTTAGTGTTCACGGTGAACACTAAAATACAGCTGTGATTAAGTCCTGCTGACTGTAGCAGAAATGTTATATTTCATGTCCAGACATGAGACGTATGCTGCCTTTCAACTTACCCTAAATCAAAAAAGACAAAAAGGGAAACATCGTGAGTTAAGTGTGTCTGACACATGTCAGCTCTGCAGACTGAACATAAACCTGCGTGTTCACAACCACATTTAGAATATTGTAACACTTTTTTTTTTTTTTTTTAAAAAGCAGGTCCTAAAACTGTGATGCTTTCAGATTAAAACTCCCATCGAGCTTTGCTCTCGCACACCACCCAGAGCACTTCAGCAGCTTCCCTGTTCTATAATAAGTTTCTGCACAGGAACTGAACCTGACCAAGTTCCTGTCCCTTGTTGCCGTCTGTCTCTGAGGGCGAGAGAAAGATCCAGAATCAGCCAGGCATACTTCTCCCTCCACACAGAGCAGCTTTTACTTCTACTTTGAAACCGGACTCTTATTTTTTTACGCTCCATTTCCCGGTACCAGGTGCGCACACACTCAAACTTACGACTTGACATATTTGATCGGCGACGCCCCCTTGCTGTCTATGAAGCGGTATTTCGTATCGATGACTTCTTTTGTCTTCCCCGTCTCTTCGAACGCCGACTTCATCTCGATGCTGACAAACTTGCAGACTGGAAAGGGAAACAGAGACAATGAGAAGAAGCCCTTTAAGCCTCAACAATGTCTCAACAAAGCAGTTAAACTCATCGGGTCATTGATGTCATCGAGATTCTCTGTTTCATTTAAAGTGTGCTTTTCCCCACAGATGGACTCCACCTGCACTGTCATGGACTGCAGGTGGAGGCGGTAGTCCTTCCTTTGCATTTCAGAGTAGGTTCCCAACTCCACCTGCAGTCCAGCATTGTGGAGTTGGGAGTCCACCCCTTGGACAAGAGGCAAAGCTGACCTGGCAGAGGACAGGTGGTACAGCAGCTATGAGAGGGGATGGGTTAGTGGCAGGATTTTCAAACTAAAATACCTACAATGAGCACCTTTAATTTAAAAGCAAGGCTGCAGGGTAGTGTTTGTATTGATGCTAAGAAATGGCCAATGGAGTAATTTCAAGAGCAAAAACCTAAAAGCAAAGCTTACAAATGTGAAATGTTAGCTAAGCCCAACAGCACTCCTGTTTTAATGTTTCACATAATCCTGTTTCAGTGCGACTTCCTCCACAAACAAACAGCCTGCTGTCAGTGTGAACCCACACAGAGTGGAAATTATACTTAGCACATATACTACGTGTATTATATATACAAATACTGCAGTATGACTTCTCTATTCGCTGTAGGACTCTTAGAGGTCCTCGGAGCCCGTTTTGAGCACCACAAGCCGCCTTACCTTCACATTTGTTGGGCAGATGAACCCAGTCATCGTCCCCATCCTTCGCTGCTCCGACCGAGGAAATTAGGAGAAAAAACGACAAATATGCCACTAAAATCATCCCGTCTGCTCTCTCCGAGTCTTTATCTTGTCATAAAACTTATTTGACTTTGAAACAACTGCGCAGAGCACCGTTATTTCCCCTGTTTTCACGCCTTCCTCTGTATCATCACTCCTGCTGCTTCACTTGCGACCGATCACTTCCGCTAAGGGCGTTACACAACCGGATCTCCGGACCAATCAGAGAAGAAGCAGTGGCAGGAGCTGGACCAATGAGAGGCAGAGGAGGGTCGAAGAGCTGCTGGAAGACAAGAGGTATCACTCAGCGCTACTCCTGCGCAAAACTGCAAATTTTGGCATCATCCAATGTTTTCTACAGTCATTAGATTTATATTTCAAATAGGACAAAATTCAGATTTTACAGCAGCAACATTATTGTATCTCTATAGTTTAAACATTTAATAAGCTTTCTGCCTGCACAGAGTGGATAGTCAAACAAACTGAATCATCATAAACATTATTATAATACATTATTTTATATTTATTACTTAATTTTTTTTCCATTTTAATTATTTTATTATTATAACACAAGGAACAAACAATAAGGGAAGGATTCTGGATCAGCACCATGATGCAAACTTGTAGCCATAATGCATACAGTATTCTGGAGAAGATATATAATGTCACTGTATGTGTATGTGTGCGTGTGTGTGTTTTATGTATATTGATATTTTTTAAAATCATTACTCATGATATAACATTGTCCAGACATGCCCTGTAAGGACATAAGGAGGAAATGGTGACAAAAGGAGCTGCTAAAGGCAGTGGATCCCCCACCAGCTGAATTAAAAAGAGCACAGGTAACAATAACACATGTACCAGTTGTTGCATTGCAGAGGTATTCAAGTATAAAAACAATAATAAACACACCTGCAATGTTTTGGTTCTATAACATTTTTCTATTATTACTTTATTATGGATTGGGTGCGAGAGTTTTTAAGAGTGGATAATTAAATAATAGATCAATGCAATAGTTAATTGTGCCTTCATCTCAGATGGACAGCAAGTGGAGAGTGATAGATGAGATAAGGAGATGGAAGGAGGAAGAGAGGCAAAGAGTGATTCGTATTCACAGCCTAGTTTATTTCTCACAGTTTTGTTGCCTTATGGTTCCAAGTGTTGTCACCTTTTCATCTTTGCATTTCATTATTATCTCATAACACCTGTTTAATCAGCTCCCATCTCTCCTATGGACATTTTACAGTCTACAGTCTCAGGTCAACACAGCCTTGCCTTTTAGCACTGTCAGCAGCAGGAGCAGCAGCAACACCTCAACAGTAACATTGTACCCATCAGGTAAAGCAGAGGCTATGTTTGCTTTGCATGGTCCCCACCTGATGACAGTGATAAAGTATGATGCATTTCCATATTCGATTCTTAAAGAATGTGGGTTGTAGTTCTTCAGCCTGGTTCCATGTGCCCCTTTTTAACTTTGAACACCACCCACGTAGATAAGAAGGCTCTCCAGAGAGTCATAAAGATCACAGAGAGGATTATAAAGACTAATCTTCTATCACTGGACTCAATATCCACATAATACTGCAAGAAAAGCGCACAACACATCATCAGAGGTTGTGCATATATACACACAGATATATATTTTATATGTTTATCTGACTGTGACTCTAAGCTCTGCACAAGATGTACACTTACCTGGTGTACATCTTAGGTAAGGTACCAAAAATATCTTTAGTTCAAAAACAATTTTTTTTCCAAAAAAAGTGGCCTATACTTTGTTGTTACTTTGTTTGTTGTCCTGTAGCTCATAACTCAATCATAACCTTTAAAATGCTTAAAAATTATTTTAAAACAAGTGATATGAGGGAGGTTTGATCCACAGTTGGCCTTCTGTCACTCACTGACATCTGTATACCTATACTTTTACTCTTTTTGCTTAATTGATTAATTAATGGCTCTTTTTGAAACATAATGTCACATTAATAATCTGTGACTGTATCAGGATTTCTTTTTCACGCCTACACTCCGTGGTTGTGGTGAACTAGAGTGAGCAGTCCTGGCAACGAGTGGCACCTCTGATCTACAGACAGTCTTTGGACTCAGTGCTCTGAGGTGCAGTTTTTAGTTTCATCCAACAGAGGGAGACCTGCACCAACCGAAAGTTCTGCCAGGCTTCACATGTTATGCAACGCTGAACAGATGATTGACATCTATCCCTCTCTCCGTTCTTTCTTCCTTGTGAGACTAACAGAGCTACTCATTGCCTCACATCTGTATTGATACTGAGCTGCCTGTGTTATGACCTTTGACCTCTGATCTCCATTTCCATGTAAATAATGGATTGCATGCAGTTATGGGAACTATCAGATGTGCTCTTGGCTTATCATCCACCTGTGCCTGTGGATGTGATGCTCGTAGTGCACATGTGCAGACATTTGATTGGCTCGCGGTCACTGGACATTTAGCGATTTAGCCAATAGCTTCATGCCAGCCACACGCAACTTAATGTGTGTACTTGTGTGTCAGACCAGATGCTCGTAGGGAGCTAGAGAATAATTAAATTGATTTGTTAAAAAAGAGCATTTTTCTTCTGCGTATCCATTTCAATGTTGAGGTCGGCCTGGAAACAGTTATAATAGCCATCCATCAGTTGTAGTTTTTGTTCATTTGGCCGAATTGGCCAACACAGCAAGCACGAAGAGGTATTTAGGAAAATGCTTGTTGAGTCAGGGAAGTCTACATGACTGTGAATGTGTCCCAGATGTATTTTGTTTGTATTAAAATACTCTGTTTTGAATGTTTTGCACAATTTGCCCTGACAAATGTGTGTCCACATGAAGTAAAAGTAACAATAAGAACATTAAAGGATAAAATTGAACTGAAATGAGCAAATGTGGTGTAAACACTAACCGGAACGATTTTCTGAAAACCAAAAAACTGAAATTAAAAATCACAAAAATCTCAAAATTGGAAGAATTTGTTTGGTAAACAGGGTTCAGACTCCTGTTTGTGATGGGCAGCCAATCAGAAGAGAGCTAAAAAGAGGAAAACAGCTTGTTTCGGACAGAGACTGAAGAGAGAGGCTGAACAAAGGCCCAGTGAAAGACAAATAGGAGCTATTTTGAATGGTTAATTATGCAAAGCCATAGTCCTTGGATAAAAATCCAAAGCTGTTAATGAACAGAATAGCTCTACTTCAAACTCTAATTGCTGCTAATTAAAAAGAGTTTTGTTGGGAGCAAAAGCTTGATGCAGATCTTGTTCTGCTCTGTTGTGTTGAAGAGAAAGCTGAGCCTCAAGGAAAAGCTGTTAGCTTACCTCAGCTACTAATAATAATGGATTGGATTTATATAGCGCTTTACAATGCCACTATTCATTCACACACTGGTGGAGGCAAGCTATGGTTGTAGCCACAGCTGCCCTGGGGCAGACTGACAGAAGCGAGGCTGCCATATTGCGCCATTGGCCCCTCTGGCCAACACCAGTAGGGTAAATGTCTTGCCCGAGGACACAACAACCAGGACAGAGAGCCCGGGGATTGAGCCGGTGACCTTCCGGTTACAGATACGCTTCCCAACCCCCTGAGCCACGGTCGCCCCCACCAACTCAATGGCTACAGGCTGTGGGTACTGAAGAAAAGAACAAAATTCCCTCTGAAGTTTGTCTAGGGTCTTCTATAGAGATTGGGTGAGGAGTTTGGTCATTTTAGAGGGGCTGATGGCAGAAGCACTACATCTCCACAGTGAAAGGAGCAAGATAAGGCGGTTCAGGCATCTGATTAAGATGCTTCCCAGACTTCTCTTACTGGGGTAGGGGTTTCAAGTAACTGGGCACAGACTCCAGGGTTGAAGCCAGGACATGCTGAAGAGGTTATGTCTCTCAGGTGAAGTGAAAAAAAATCGACAGTGTGCCTTATGTATGAATTCTGGTTGTGCTTACTGACCTAGCTCGAAACGATTTTATGTGGTACACGGCGCTCACTGCTGCTTTACCAGGTGTAACAATTAAGTTTAACATCCAGGCATCCATGAAAACAGAATTTATTAAATTCAACGGAGTTAGAAGTTATTAGGAAGTTAGCTCGCTCGCTTCCACCTAAACAGGATATACCATGTTCTGACTGAGAGATTTCTGAAAAAATTAAAACGTACAGCTCTGCTACCACTTCCAACATAAATGAAGACAGAAAACTAAACAGCAGTGATGTTTGTAGAGTTACTGAAGTTAGCTGGTATATAATTATGTGCTACATGTTAGCTAGCGACTCAGCTACGTTAGCATAATATAAACACAGTGAAGCTGAAGGATGAACGCTAACTTTTTTCCACTCGACAAAAATTAGCAGAACGGGTTCCTAATGGTTAGGGACAAATGCCATTGCATGGCAGAATGCTGTAAAAGGACCAAACTTCAGTCAGGAGAACAACTGAGATAATCCATCCGCAATACGAGGTCAGTCATTAATATACTGCAACAACATGGGAATAGAGCAGCTGCGAGAGAATTCAGCACTAATGAATCAATGGTAGGGAAGTGGAGGAAGCGCTGTTTTTGGCTTCCCTCATATTCCAAAAGTGCTTCGTCTCTTTGCTATTACTGTCGCCCGGCATAATTTGCAGATGATATTGCTTGCAGCCGCTGCCATGCTTTCGACCAAAACAGGCGCAGCTTGATGACACCATCAACATACACTATTGCGGTAGAGCGGTATAGTCTACCGTTGGCAAAATTCATATTATTTCTACCGTATACCATTTATACTGCCCACCCCCTATTTGGAATTGAAATTTTCAAGATTTCCACCAAACAAAGAACAAACAACAGGCCAAAAATAAAACCAATTACTTTCAGTAGACAGCAGAAAAATTACTGTAGCCATACAAAAGGAAGACTTGAGCATTTAGCTGGTGTGAAGTGTTGACAGGAAGAAGTTAGACGCAGATGTTATGGCGCTCTACCGTTTAAGCTGCTGGATGAGGAGAGATGATTGGATGGATGGATGGATGGATGGATACTGGATTTGCACTGCACTCCAAATGATTTTTTTTTGTTTTTGTAACCCCCAGAGGACCTCGGTACGTTCCCTGAGGAACTCCTGTACTTCAAGTTCATAAACTTTCTAAACTCCCCAGATCCCTTGCAGGACTTTAACAGAATTTATCTGTAGAGGTGTATCTATGTGTGTGCATATGTTGTCTGTCTGTATGCCTGAATGTTTCTGACTGCATATCTGAAAGTGTGTGTAAAAGAGAGAGAGAGAGAGAGAAAGAGCTGCACAGTGAGATGAGAGCGTTTGTCAGTGGTTCAATAATAGTCCAGTTTTTCTGAGAGGTGCTTCAGTGTACTGCTGCCTGCCAAAAGGACAGCCAGTTTCTCATTGCACAATGCGCGCGCGCACACACACACACACACACACACACACTCACAGATCACTGTGTGTCTCATAGCAGAACTTGACACTGAGTTGGTGGAGGGGAGGTTGATGTAGAGAGAGGGAGAGAGAGAGAAAAGAAAGAAAAAGGAGAGATGAAAGCTGGTTTTTATTCAGCGGTGCAGCCCACACAGCGGGCAAGCGAGGGCTTTGTTAAAAAAACTCATTTCTCTCTACTGCTCTCCTTTCTGGCTGTTCCTTGAATAAAAATATTAATACATTTAGATTACATGACACATTGCTGAAAAGCTCTCTCGCTCTCAGCACGTACAGAGAAAAAGAGCACAAAAAGAAACAGGTTTTATCAGTTTAGATCCAATTCGCACACATACAAACACTAAAGTGAAACAAGTGACACCAATCTGACCCCTGAAAGCATCTCGGATAAGAGAAACAACAGAGCGAATTGTGAGCAGAGGCTTTGTAACTGAACAAAAAGTGTTTTCATGAAAAGTTGCATTGAAAGTTTTTCTGCTGTTTTTACATCACTGATTTTACATACCGGGGAAAAAAGCTTAATGAAAGGCAGTATATTGGGTGATTACAGGCAAAAACAACAACAACAACAACAAAAGAAAAAACAGGTCTAGGAAAGAGGATGATATTCAGACGAAAAACTGTCGGCAGAGGAAGATCTAAATAATCAAACCTGTTCAAAGTCAAGCGATGCAAATTTTAGAACCCCCCCCCCCCAAAAAAAAAAAAAAAAACTAAACAAAGACCTTGTTTTATCAGTTTCTTCCACCTGGTTATTATATTAAATCATGTAATCCTCCTTTTTTCTCATAAATTCTGCTTCTCTTATTTTTTCCCCTCTCCCCCTGGTTCCAGAAAACACATCAGATCTCATTTGAGAAAAGAGAATCATGCTGGACAAGTAGTTATATGGACTGGATCATTTATTAGGAAATGACAATTATCAACCTAAAGAGGGCTGAATTCAAAGGCACCCTGAAAATCAGAGAGAAAAATGATGTGGCAGGCTAGTCCGTCTTCCCAAAACTTCATTGCAGCAATTCAAAATCATACTCAGTAATCCGTCTGTTCGGGCTCTGTGTGCTTGTATGTGTGCCCCTAATTAGATGACGGGTGGTGTCCTTGGGGATCTCCTCCCAGATCTGGACCAGGGGATCACCGAGCTCCTGGACAGCCTTAACTGCAATCTGGTAGCGTTGGATGGGCTGGAACATAATGTCCCAGGGGTTGATCTGTTGGGTTTAGGTCACGAGAGTGTTTGGACAGTCAATGGAATCAACTCCTTCCAACATCCACCACGAACTGCCTGCATACTCTTTTCTCATGAGGTCTGACATTGATATGAATCAAGAGGAACTCAGGACCCACTGCACCAAGCATAGGGGCTTACTATGGGTCCAGGATATTATCCTGATACCTAATGGCTGTCTGGGTGCCATGGCCAAGCCTGAAGAGGCTAGTCCATGGATGACTCCTCAGCCATCAGTAATCCACTAACAAACCTGTCATGGTAAACAATATAACAGGCAGTATATAATGTTCTCTATGACTTCTTCCAGATCTGTTCACATCTGTCACATGTGCTCAGGGTGAACCTGCTCTCATCTGTGACAAGCACAGGTGGACCTGCCAATTCCGGTATTCTATAGTAAATGCCAATCTGCCTCAACGGTGCCTGTAAGGATGCTGGGAGACCACCTTCATGAAGTCTGTTTGTTTGGTCAGAGGTCATTTTGTAGCTCTGCCAGTCTTCATCCTGTCCTGGTCCTGCTGGTGGGTTAAGGACCTTCTACAGTTCTGGATGGTTCTCCTAAGCCCACATGACGTCCACTTGCTAATGTAAAGGAGTTTTACAGGAGAGTTTTCTCCAAGCATGAAATCCCGGTGCATTTCAGACCCAGCAACACGCTCAGACAAAAACTGGTTCACCCGAAAGACAAAACTCCAAAACACAGACTTAACAATGTGGTGTATGCTGTACAGTGCAGCGAGGAATGCTCAGACCTCTACACTGGAGAGACCAAACAGCCACTTCACAAGCGCATGGCACAACACAGAAGAGCCACCTCCACAGGACAAGACTCAGCAGTCCATCTGCATCTAAAGGATAAAGGACACTCTTTCGAGGATGCCAATGTTCACATTTTGGACAGAGAGGACAGATGGTTTGAAAGAGGAGTGAAAGAAGCCATCTATGTCCACTGTGAGCGACCATCTTTGAACAGAAGCGGGGGTTTACGACACCAACTCTCTGCCATCTATAATCCAGTTTTGAGATCCCTTCCCAGACGCCTTAACGCCCACTCACATCCTGGGCTCACCTGAAACCCTGGCTGATTGGGATCCACACCCATTTTCACACCTTGGCTCAGGCGTCATCAGGGGGTCCTTTTGTCCCTCTGTGGGGAGTTTCTCCCACTAGGTTTAAATCTGGGACTCTCCACCATTTGACCTTAGAACTGAAGAAGCTTCTCGGATGAGAGGTGAAACGTCTTCAAGCAACTTAAAGAAGTCCAGACGCTTTTCTTTGCAAGCTCCTTAGACTACAATGACCTGGATGACTGAGAACCTTCACAGACTTAAAGGAGTTTTATTGCCATCACATGGACCCTGTGAGTTTAAAGACCAGCCATGATGCATCTCCGTGTCGGTGTAAAATCAGCTTTAGATTGTGTTTTTTTATACTTGTTTATAGTAATAGTCAGTTTAGTGTAGTGGTTAATACTTTTGCCAAACACACAAAAGCTTCCTGATTCAAGATTGGGAGGAGACAAACCTCTGGGAGGGCTGCATAAGGAAGGCCATAGGGTGTAAAAATCTGTGCTAAATCAAATATTTTGGATCCATCCACTACTGTGACGCTGTGTGAATAAGAGGGGAGCCAAAAAAAACTGGTTTCAAATGAGGTGGCGGTTACATTTTAACTGTGTGTATCCATGTTAACAAGCGTCAGTCTGCCATGATGACTCGTACAGAAAAATTTGAAATTAAAAAGTGTTTCCTGGGAATCCTTCATCTTGTCTGTATCGACATGAGCTGTGAATGAATGACATTAACAGTAGTTCAGTCTCTCCTTGTTGTGCTCTCAGTAATATACAAGTAGAACATAATTGGTTGTAAACATAATAGTTTACAACCATTTATATCAAATACTCATTGAAAGTAGCCACTGAGGTCATAAAATCATTAGGAGAGTTTTCATACTGCAGTCACATCAGCGAAAACAGTGGTTGGAGCCGGCAGCACAAGCAAAAATATTTGTCACTTTGTGCAGCAAACTATCAACAGCTTGCAATCTGTTGCTGTTCAAAAAGCAACTTTGCATTGAGATGGCGACAAAAAAGCAAGTCTGCTATCATTATCACCGTTTGTTTTAACACAGTGATCATCTGCTGTCTGCTGAAAATCAAATACACGTACACTAAATATTTACTTTAAGAGTTCAGCTCACAGATTTGAAACAGAGATTCAGAAATTGCCCCAAAACTGGTGACATAGTTGCTGCAGGACAGCAATTAAACTGTAAATTGACAATAGTGCTTAGTAGCCTTGCTGTTACATAGGAATATAATCAGAATAAAACCAGTTGACTAGTAGTGTTCCCTATTGCAAAGCGGTTCAACATGTTTCTTCCTGTTAAAACAGAGTTTTTCCTTGCCACTGTTGCCAAGTGCTTGCTCACAGGGGGTCATTTGGCTATTGGGGTCTTTAGCTTACAGTATAAAGCACATTAAATGTTGTTGTAATTTAGTGCTAAATAAATAAAACTGCACTGCACTCATCAGCGGAGACAGACTCAGATTAAGTGCAATTGTCAGCAATCTGCCAACAACCAGGCAACCTGTGCAACTGACTTAATTGAAACTGGTCACCTGCAGGTGAACTGGTTTTGTTCAGACACCTACAACTAGTGGCTGAATACAGAAAACTTCAATGTACTGGATGACCATTGATTTTTTTTCCTAGTTGCCAGGAGATTGTCATTTTATTTTTACTCTAGTGCAGAGATGTCAAACTAATTTCACATCGTGGGCCACATACAGCCCACTTTGATCTCTAAGATAAAGACATGCAATTTCATCAGAACATCTCAGTTTTTCTACATGATAAAGAAATCCTGCTGGAGTAAATAAAGTCTCTCAGCATGGCTCCTTCAGCTTAAACTGTAAGAAATAAATGTGTAAAATGACAGAAAATACACTGGTACTAGTAGCTGGTTGGCCAGACTGTCTAGTCATTAAATAACACAAAGTTCCTGAAAATGCCCATTTTTGTGGATCCATCGTAAAAACACAGATATTTCTACAATGGATTGTGAAAAAAAGGAACTTTCATATAAATGTTTATTTATCACTTAATTACTTTGATGTAGTCAGTGGCCATGGGGGAGGTCTTTGTCAGCAGCAAAAACTCAAGAAAATATTGTTGTACATGTAAAAGTTAAGCCCACCTTCAAATTTTTTAAAAAAAACCACCCAGTGGGGTAAATATGAGTTTTTGCTGGGCTGATTCTGGCCCCCTGGCCTTATGTTTGATACGCCTGGTCTAGTGGGACTGGGCCATTACTTTAGAATTAGACACTAGATTAGAAATATTGTTTAAATTCTTCACTTTCAAACTTGAAAAGTGGCTGAAATGCCGTTTTTGTAAGGCATTTCAGCTGAAATATTATACATTCTGACAAATTAATTGTAGTTGGTGGAAATCATAACACAACATAGCATGAAGAATTATAAATGAATAAATACAATTTTTTTAAAAGCCCCACACGTGGCTTTTAGTGCAATACCACTGAATATGCAAAAGTAAATGAAAAGCACTTTGACAGCACTGTGCGCTCCATTAACAACTCCCACCTCTTACATAAGGAAGTCAGCTCCTCTTGATCTAATTTACATGGCTCAGCCAGGTTATATTTGGCATTAGAACCACACCCCGAGTCTTTTATGGTGAGCGGGTTTCTTACGACTCGCTGCACCCGTTCTGTCAGGAGAAAAGTCATGCAGTCAGGCACCTAGAAACACCCGACAGGATGTCAATTAAATCTCAGAGTGAGTCCTCCTCGTCTCCAAGCGCCTCTAAAAATAACCAGAGCCACAGCGCCAGAACAGACAAAACAAGTGTTCCTGTTAAAAGTGCCTTTTGTGAGTGCACATTTAAACTCACAGCTGGCTTTACAGACTCGCGGCAGGTGTTTGGGTCCCAATCGCTGCCGTAGCTTCGGTTCTTTGATCTTCTCAGTCTCTTCTCTGGTTACATCAATTCAATTAAGCCCTCATCAGCCTCTGCAGAATCTCTCAGAACTACTCTTCATATTTCTGTTCTTTCGCCATCAAAGATGATGTTTACACTTGTTTTTGCAATTCTGTGAAGATAATTTGGAAGAAAAAAGAATAGGTACCTCTAATTTCTATTTTAGCAGATTTTGAATGGTAACAGGAAGGAGTGACAGAATGAGTGAGAAAGCATGAATCGATCTATAAACTTTGTATAATATTTTTGTTCCCAGTGGTGGAATTACATATCTTTAAGGCTTCTATTTTGGCTGCAAAAGAGATACTTGCAGTTAAGCAGAGCTCCAATGCGGATTTAATGATTGAGAATCAAATGTCTCACAATTTCAGGTGGTTTTCAAATTCAAGTTTGACCCTTACGTCCTTTCCTGTGGGATAACTGAAAAGGAAAAAGTCTCAGACACAGGTCAAGTCAAAGAAACAGCCCGGCCACAGCCCAGTTTTCTAAGGATGCCTTTATTAAAGAGTCAACAACGTGCGCTAGCCGTCCGGTTCTAGAAAAATAACACAGTCATACATTCATCCAAGTGGAAATCCATAAAAACAAAGAAAAGAAAAGAAAAAAACGAAACAAGGACAGGTTTCTTATTCTTAAAGCTCAAAATCCCTTTAGAAGGTGAGAGGGGAACCTGAATGATATACTCATATATGTATGTGTACTGTGTGTACCTGTTTGTCACTGTGTGTGCATGTGAGAAAGTGCTTGTGTGATGAGTAGCAGCAGCAACCTCTGTGACATGTGCAGGAAATTGATTATTGATTGATGCAGGAAACTGGAGACAGTTTTAGTGTTAATGCTCATTTCTATTTAGCCAGATAGTCCAGTGACTAACTGATGACCTGCCCCTAGTACAATAGACCCCAATACCACCATCACTCTTAGTTAGATAAGTGGACTGATGTATGGAAGTCCTGATATTAGTGTAAAACAACTCATTACCTTCAGTCACTGCCTTTTATGTGCATACAGACAGGAAGGGAACAGCAGCAGTGGGGTGACCAGAGACTTCTGGCAATGACAGGGGACAAAAAAACAAAAACTAAGTACCTGCTATCTGGTGACAAGAACAAGGTGAGCACTTTACTTTAACTAATTTTAACTTCGAGGCAGTTGGAGTAACTCTAATGAGACTGAAGGATACTAATGAATGACATATGATTGGTTGAGAAAATGCATGAGAGTTACCCACAAAAGGCTGATATGTTCATAAGCAGCCAAACTCATGGCTGTTGAGCAGTTTAGCAGAAACTTCCTGTTAACTATGCTTTTTGTCTTCTTTTTTCAATCTAATTAAAAAGAAACCGTAAGGACTGAGACATGATCTAGTCGGCCTGTCTTTTCTATGACAATAGTTGACTGTTGATAACACGATGCCATGAAGAAAAAAAAAAAACCCTCCTTCTGAGACATAATTCAAATACACCTTTTCTCAAAACCTTTGAGCCACTCCTGTACCTGCTTCCTATAATAGTGAATGAAAAAACACTGAAACCCAGCAGCTGAAATCCAGTCCTTGCAACCTTAAATCACAATCTAAATGAAACCACCTTACTGGGGGAATGTACATCATTCCAGTATGAAGTGCAGAGCACTGACTACCTTCCAAGTGTGGCACTTGTCAAATCTCAAATGTGATCAGTCAACACACTTGAGATTTGTGGAAAACTGAAATCTTGCCCTTTCCTGTGATTCTGCATGCATACATTTATGTGAGCCTGAATATATGAATCAGGTTAAATGTCCATGGTCTATGAATTTTGGCTTTACCTTGGTTTTTGGTTATGAATGATATTAACTGTCTTCTGTTTTCAGAGGGTTTTTTTTTTACTTTTCAGCTCAGAGGTATTTCTAGTATTTTGAGTATTCAGTTCTACTTATAATTTAGTAGTTAATCATGTTCTCCTCTGTGTTTTCTTTTGTCCTCCTGTGTTTTTCCCTTGCTTAAAGTTAGTCACTCTGTTTTACTTTAAGCTAAGTTTCTAGTGCCTTTTGGTTAGTTTTATTTTCCAATAGTCTCCACTCTACCCTGATTACCCTTCTGTGTATATTTAGTTCCAGTCTCCCTTTGTCTTTTGTTAGATCTTATGTCAGCATTGTGTATTCTTGTTTCTTGGCCTTGTGCCCTTTTGTAACATTCTGAATCTGGCCTCAATAAGAGGTCAAGTTTTATTTGTTAACTCAACTGTTTTTCAGTCATGTTTTTTCTTATAAATCTTGACATTAGAACTAATTTTAATATGAAAATCTAAATGCCCAACAAGTCTAAAATGTGTAATTTTGCCACATATAACTCAGAAACTTGCTATATAGTGACCATAAATTTGACCAATAGCAACTTTTCTTAAAAAGGCTCTTTACTGCTGTTTATGTATAATAAACATACATATTTTGAAGCACATTTTTGAATGGTAATAATGGACAAGCATGTGCCCCGTGTAAATGTGATTAAAAAATGTCTCTTCCTTTACACAAACACGCTATGAAGGCCTGTAATAGAAAACGAGGGACAAACTGCATTAAAATATGAATGGAGCCACTGTGACATTACTCACTGGACTTCACATTTTACATCATGCCGAGGGTTTTTGAGTCAGGAGAGGGGCGGTGAATCTCTAAGTTACAGGCTAATAAATACTAATAAAACCCTAAAATTTCACTTCCTAAACCTGTAGTGCAAACTTCTTGGAGCAATCTATATTATGTGAGATGCTTCTGTTTCAAGGCACCAACTGCACAGGCACAGAGAGATCCAGTCTACTGATTTCAATTAGTGCGAGTGAGATTTTGCAGGCAGGGAGTGGCCTACTAAATCTCGCCTAACTCCTGTGCCCAGATTGGTGAGTTACAAAATAAGTAACCCTCTATACTCTTGTTAAGAATCATTACAAACCCATTTTTTTCATTCTGGGCTGTAAACCAGCTTTTTAATGCTGTAGTGTTTTTAACATAGAAGTCTATCTTTGGATTCAGCCTCAAGTGGCTGTCGGGGGAACTGCATTTTTTAGCACTTTGTGTAATTTTATTAGCCTCGGAGGTTGCTGCTTGAGACAAGGCTGATTCACATTCGACCAGGGTTATTAAAGTGGACTGGAGGCTGCGGCTGCCTTAAGCAATTCACAGTCAAACCTGCAGCTGGTCAGTGGTCGTGTGAGTGAATAATGCATAAGATGAATCACACGTCTCCTCCCGTCCTTACCACTGCTTGATTTCTATTTTTATACCCCACAGTGTATCACTGCATGCCCATTTAGAACATATATCCTCTTCAATAACGCTCTGCTTGTTTCTCTATATCTCAGTCTCTCTATCTCCTGGACCGGCACATGTCTGTATCTCTAGCTTTGTGAGGACACTCTTCGTGTGATTATGACAACTAAATGCCACTTCAAATTCAAAAACCAACCAGGTTTTACTCTAAACCCTAAAATCAACTTTAACCCTCATCAGAGCTGTCAAAATTCCCTCAACTTCAACAAATGTCCCAAAACTCCCAAACGTGGTCCTCAGAATGACACAGTTTGAGATATAAACACACACCTATTGATTGGGTACAACTCTAACCAAGTCAATACCTATTAATCAGGAGCAAAACAGAATCTAATTATGGATTCTGGCTGGATCAATTACACCATGGCCACACACACACACTCTGGAGAACAGACAGGCATTACTGATATTGATCTACCACAGTGATTGATTATTAATGCTCTGCCAAATGGCATGTGCGGCCTGTTGAGTCTGGTGTGGTGTGATCTGAAATCTTTTAAGGACAGCACACACATGACTGCAGTGACTTTATCAAATTATCAATGCTCCTCTGCGAGTGTCTTCACTCAGACATTACATTTCAAAATAAAAGCCTTCGATTGGTGCAACAATGACAGCAATGTTGCGATTTTGTTTTATTGTGGTAAGTAATAGTCAGAGTTTCAGTGCACACGGAAGCCTGACTGATTATGAGACCTGAACAGTTCTGACTATGGGGTGGTGTCATGCAGGCTGGTTGCCATGGTAACAGAGGATCCTGTTTTTTTGGGTTGTTTTTTTTTATCTTTCCACTTTTCTGGGTACTGACCTTTTCAATTGTATTTTTCCTCACCTTTAATTTAATTAAATTTTTTGTTTTAAATGTAAAATCTTTTCAGAGTTGCATTCACAAATAAATAGGCTGGGGATGATATTGGTGAAGCATAGTGACAGATGGAGGGCAGGTCAGTTTTATGAACAAACCGTGTTTAGTGCTTATGCAAATGTGTTAACTGGTGATCTAGCAATCCATGCACTTGTCTAAATGTGTTCCAAAAAGTATATAAATATATAAGGATAGCAATGGCCAGGATTAAATTATATTCTGCTCTGTGTTTCCTTTTGTCCTCCTGTGTCTTTCCACAGGAGGACACTGCCTGTTTTACTTAAGCTACAGTACGTTTATGTTTCTAGTGCCTTGTATTTAGTTTTGCTTTTAAGGTGTCTCCACTCTGCCCTGATTACCCTTCTGTGTATTCATCATCACAGTTTCCCTTTATATGTTGCACCCTCCACATAACAGAGGGTTGCAAGATGCTAGCAGGTAGGGCATACATGGAACACCGTAACCAAGTGGCCATCTTGTATACAGAAACATCTGTGGCGAGTATGGGCTGGAAATCCCAAGGTCAAAATGGGAGACGCCCCCTAGGATGGTTGAGAATGATCAAGCTAAGATCCTCTGAGAACCAGATAAGAACAGAGAAACTGGTGATGGCTAGCCAACCAGACAGAGTAGTGGGGAATGTGGCAATAACGAATGACAGCAACATCAGGAAGAAGCAACATGAGAAGCTGGTGAAGTACCAAGGGCTCAGAGAACAGCTCGGGAAGATGTGGCGGGTGAAGGTAATAGTGGTCCCAGTGGTAATCGGAGCACTAGGTGCAGTGACGCCGTGGCATCTTTCCAGAACAGCGCAGTCCTAGGAACAGCAAGGATACTGTCCATGACCCTCAAGCTCTCAGGCCTCTGGTAGAGGACCTGAGCTTGAACGATAAAAACTGCCCGAAGGGGAATTTTTTTAAATATATATATATGTATATATATCAAGATGGCAATGGGCAAGGAGCTAAAGTGGAGGCTGTATGGTTGAAATGAAAATCAGCTGTGATATTTCCAGTTCTGAGCATTTGTTAGTTTATCTAAATTCTAAAATTCACCACAGTGTCAAGTTAAAGTCAAGAGTCGCCCCTGAACAGTTTCACCTTGTCCTTGCTTCTCTTTGTGCATTTAAGCCCAGTTCCAGCTCTGCTCCTACACTTTTGGTAAATGAACTGTTTTTTTTCTACTCTACCTGAGCACTCGAAGCGTTTTATACATCTTGTCTCATTCACTCATTCATACAAGCACTGGATGGCCAGCTTTTTCTTGAAAGGAGAACATAAACAAAGGCCGCTACACTCCACGTGGAGTCGTACTTATTGCTGCTGAAGGGTCTCCTTATTAAGAGTTAGGGTAAATATTGCAGCTGCAATTCTAAAGACGGTCACAGCAATTTATAATCAGCAACTGCAGCAACTTATACACCTCTCTGATGGGTGGATGCAGTCATGTCCATAACCTGCCTATGTTGTTTCAGATTCATTCAGGTGTTCCTACAGATCCAGCTTCCCTTCAGTTCAGTTTAATGTGATTTAGATATCACAAATCGACAACAACAGTGAACTCAAACCACTCTTCCCTGTAAAGAACCTACAGTATTGGATAGAAAACCCCAGAAATCGGACGACCCCCTAAGTGGACCACTTGTCAACGTTATGAAGGGGCCAAGTCACTTTTAACAGGAACAGACCTCCAACTGAACTAGACTCAGGGAGGGGCAGCCATCTGCCGTTACCGGTTTTGGGTCAAAGGCATAGAGGAGATTCAAAAAGGGAGACCATTATTTTTTTATTTATATATATATACACCGTTTGATTTTGTTTATATCTGCAACAAACTTGCATCCAATTGGGTGGAGTTTCAACCACACAAAATAGGTGCTGCACCTTCAGGGAGTCCAATTAGTATACTCTGTGTTGGAGTGCTTTATAGGCTGCTTCCACTAATGAGTTAAAAGGAGAAATGGGGTGGCTGTAACGCAGGAGGTAGAGCAGATCATCTACTCTAATCTGAAAGTTGGTGGTTCAAATATGGCTGCAAATATGCCAAATATCCTTGGGCAAGATGCTAACGCCTAGTTGTTCTCATCGAATCATGAATTTGTGTGAACGTTAGAAAGCACTATCAGATTGTCTACATCACCCCTCAACTCCTCAGCTGAATCTCTCTCACGGCGCCGACCCTGGGTTGTACCTTAGTTTAGATTTGTCCTTTCTGTTGTGTTTAGTTTGAATGTTAAGATTTGTTTAATAAAATGCACCTCTACTTGTGCCCTCCTTTTCCTCCAGGTTCTCATTTTCACTGCAGATCATCCAGAGCTTTACTTACTCCACTGATGCAATCATTGATGCTGATTATCACTTTAAGGAGCGTTTTTAGAAGCCATTACATTTCTTAAACTCCTTCCTGCTCAGCATAAGTCCAGTCTGCGAGCCAGCCGATCAAAACATCGATTTATTAAATGCCTGAAGCCTCACACAAGATCAAAAGATTATTCAAATATTAATCCACAGTTTTCTAATATCCTGATGCATTAGAGCTGGATTAATTGATTTTCTCTGGGCCACTTGAGGGTAGTGCAACAACCTGAAAACACACCACTGATGTATTATCACTTTTTAGCATTTTCACGGGGAGTGTGTGTGCAGTCATTTGCACACCCGGCAGACAAATAGCAAGTTTTTCTACCAATAACTACGCAATTCATATTGCACAGTCATTCCTATTAACTGGTGTAGCTTTAAGACTTTGTGAGCATGAGGGCAGACTCAAAGATTTTAAATTTGTCATTTCCACAATTTACCACCAATAAATTGAAGAAAAGTGTGCAGTGGTCTGAAATGAAAATACTGGATATCAACACAAACACATACACTTGACAGCCCTCATAGAATATGTAAGCAATGAAGGTTATCTTTATAGCGCAAATGTTGTTGGTTGATACAGATGATATGATACAGACAAGGTTAAAGATGGAAATCATTTCAAAACAAAGAGCTAAAAGAAGCAAAAAATTGTCTGAAATGTGAAGCAACTATCTTCGCAGTCTTAGATCGGCGTTCTTTTTGATCACCAGCAGGGGGCGATACTACAAAAAAAAAATCTTCAACCCTATAGAAGCCAATGGGGTAAACAGTCCTTGTTCTTGACTTCTGCAAACCTTTCCTGATGAATCATGATGTGCTCACTGACTTCAGGTCATACTAGATAAAACATTATGTGCATTTTGTAAGTTCTGGGGAACCTAAGTTTCAAAGGGAGGGATTATGCATGGTAGTATAAGACATGTCAATCAGCCAATAAGCAGCCAGTTTCAGTGGGATTTCTATATTGCTTGTGACACCTGGTTCCAAATTATATAATGTCGTCTGGGATTAATAAAGTATTCTTATTCAAAACAGGACTTCAGACACTGGTGTGTGATGTCAGGTTAGCTATGTCCATCTTTTCCTGCCTCCCATATCATCTGCAATAATAACAGAATTAGTTTTCACATGTCATATTGTATCATTTCAACAACGAGACAATTGGCAGTTTTAAGTTATTTTAATTTTTGTTACACTAAAATATTAAATAGTTATTTTGTACTTTTACTTCAAATTTCCAAGGAAATAACACTTTTTTACTGATATTTCACTATACTGTGAAGTTTGTCATCAATGACATCAGCTCACTGGAAAAGAAAATGCCCTTCATTAACTTTTATAGATGCCTGCAAACATAACATAATAATATTTTTTTTCTATATTGTCGGAAGCATTGTTATCACAAATGAAATAATTTTGAGGCTATGTCACCTAACTGTCTTTGCTCTGACTAAAGGCCAGGTACTAGTTTGCTCTTTGTCACCGGCCTTTGAAGTGTGTACTTTAACAAAAAATGACACAACATTTAGCATATTTAACATTTAAATATGCTAGACATCTCAGGTAAACAACAAATTCTAAATTAGAAGCTGTACTTATTTTATCAGTGGTGTTTCTACAATACTCCCCCTTTCAGTTCAGATCGCTGAGGGTCTTTTAAAGTAGTTTAGTCCAGCCTCTCAAGTGACCACACAGTTAAATCAAGACGTTTACTGGTGTATATTTTGCTCAGTCTCACCACCCTGGTGTTTGCTTTGGGCTTTGCTGGTCCCTTGTATATTTTTAACTGGCCTGAGACAAAGCTCAAAGCAGTCTACATCTGCACAAATAATTATGATTAGCAACTAAAGTTTAAAATTAAATTGTGTGGTAAAGTAGAGAAGGCCGCTGTCAGCTTGTAGCAAAGATGAAAGACTTAAAGATCGCTATATCGCTGTTTGTCTGGAGTGCTGGAATCAGTTTTACAAACCAGTTTTGGAAGTGAGCAGGAAAAATGTTGCTCTTCTTCATGTTTAAGGTGTCATGAGGAAGGACTCCTTGAAAAGCTTCTGATTATGATTACACGATTACAGTAAGTATCACTGCTGTTGTCAGCCTTATAAAAAATAAAAAATGCTGTCGCTCCCCCTGGGTTCACGGTCTCTGTGCTGCCTCTCTGTTGCTTGCTTTGAGTTTATCAGAGAGGAGAGTTCTGCCATAAATTACAGCCCTGCGTGGCAACTTCACTGACATTCATCTTCACTTGCTGTGTTTGCAAGCTTTTCATTGAGAAAAATAACGGCGATCTGGGCTGTATCCTACAATACAAATCCACTAAGAACTATGTCTCTTTCATGGGCTTCATGCACTTTCTTTAATGTGCAGATTTAAAGCCTAACTGTTAGTGAGGTGAGGCTGGAGCTGACGGGTGGAAACTCATTCACCTGCCCTGCTACTGAATCAGCTTCCAAAACACTTCTATTTTTTTTAAAGAGGCTTTGTGATATATGTATATATCACATATATACTGTAAAATAGTGTAAAAAACAGCATAGTTGGCAAACATAGGAACTACTACAACTCATAGTGGGGCTGCTAACTTGTGCTGCTTTCTGGTGAAGCAGCGGAAACACTGATGTTGGTGGCGATACTCAACATGAATATTACGTTAGTGTGATTAAAAACATGGATGCATCATTTCCATGTATATCACTAGTCTGCATTCAGCCCAGTGTGTGTGAATGTTAGATAGAAAGCACTTGCATAGAAAAACCATAAAAAAGCGCTTGTATGAATGGGTGAATGAGGAATGTTATGTAAAGCGCACTGAGTGCAATTACTAAAACTAAATTTCTGCCATGCTTTAAAGTGGCAACAGACAAATCCTCTTTTTTAATTTATCATTACAAGCTGACATTTTCATCTATAGGGCAGTAAAACATGACGCTGAAACACCATGGGTCCATTTTGCAACACTGCAGTCTGAAGATTGGTATTTCCATCTGCAGTCATTTGTATTTGTATTTGCTCTGTTCTCAGACCAGCACAGAACAGAGCAGGTATCAGTAACAAACAATATAACATTGATTACATCAGACACATCAATTTAAGGAGGGGTTATGAGTGGACAGGGTTGCAAAGCAGCTTGCAGATGTGCAGCAACTGTAGCCAGGTTAAAGCAGCTTAAATAGCACACACTATATAAGATCTGCCAATGGCATGCATAGCAAGGTATCAGCTGAACCACCAGCTGATGTGGCCTGACATTAAGACCAGCTGGTCTGCTGGGGTTGTGGTTGAGCCTGACTTCATGTTGTGCCTGAGTTTACTCTAGCAAACAAAAAAATTAGTCTCCTTCAAAAACAACCGAAAAAGGGAAAGAGTGAGAGTGATTAAAAAACAAAACTGACAAAACTAAACAAAAATATCCATCAAATAATGGATTTAGCATAATAGAAGGTGCTGCAGCAGTCTAAAAGACAAACAAAGGCAATGCAAAGCAGAGGAGGATTTAGACTTCGTAGGCATGTAGAGCCTACGATGTAACCATGGCTGACGTGCTTGTGTGCTGCTGCATTATGTGTTGATTACAGCGTGGCCGTGTCCAGATGTTTCAGTGCCAGCAGATAGAAAAAAAGGAACATTTTTCCCTCCTCGGTGTGCTGTCTTTTTTGCACTTTTTTTTATTCGTTCGGAGGGAAATCATTTTTGTCCCACTCCTTTGTACATTCCCTCACATCTACTCTGATTGTTTCAACAATCTACCTCTAGGAATCTGCTGTCATTTGTGAATCCTTATATTGATGCTATGTTCATTGTTCCTTATACTAAGAGGATGACTGCTATTCTCTCACTGACAAATTCAAAAACTGCCGTGAAAAAGTAGCCGGAAATGCACGGGAGGAATCGATGGTACTGAACAGGCCAATCACAATAGGAGCTTCAGAGGTTACTCCTAGCAGACCTTGAAGGGCTAAAGAGTTAATGTGAAACCAAAAACATATCCAAATCCCAAATTGTGAAATGTTTGCTAATTCAAATTAAAAATAAAACATCCTTGTACTTTTAAGATCTAAACGACCAACTGTGTCTTAATTTCTCACAATTACTAAAATCAAACAGTATTAAAGCAGTTGTCACGTCATCCTCTGTTACTGGAATGTAAAGTAAGAAGACATTGATTTTTAAATACTAAATTGATGGGCTGGCACTGCTAAGCACTTAACTGCGCACCTGCTGTCCGAGCTCTGGCCGTGACATTATGATTACAGGATGCACAGCGGTTGACGTCGTGACATTTTGGAATGCTGATTTATTGCTGCTCTGAGGCTTTCTACTGCCAGGACAGCTGCCTAACCAGAGGGCTTTTTTATGAAAAAAAGAGGACAAGGACGGACAAAATGAATAAAACAGTCAAATAAGAAATAAGAGGAGGTGATGTCATCCTGCTGAGAGACCAACAAAAACAAGACCAATACTTTTAGCTGTCAGCTATTCATCACACAAGCTGATTTTTAAGTGCGTGAATGTGTGTGTGCTTGCATGTGTGTGTTGCAGGTAACGGTGTTTTTTCTTTTTTTCTTTTTTGATCAAACATGCATAATTTCTCTACTTCACCGCTGACAGTCGTATATTAACCAGAGTAAAATTCAACAGCCTCTGCTCATGCCAACCCTTTGAAGTCGCCTCACCAAGCGACTTCAAGAGAAAAAAAAAATCATGATGAAATTCTGGTGAAATTTCCCTTTTAAATAGATTTCCCAGATAGATAGAAAGGGAAACTCATCCCCATTTTAGTCCATCTGTTCCTCATTCAAGCATATCTATGTGCCTTCACTTATTTGCCTCATTTCCTCTCCCTCCATTCTTCCAATCATTCCTCCTGCCTTTATTTCCCCTGACCTTGTTCTTCCTTCCTTAAAACGTCCCGCGTTTCTTAAGCTCTCTCTCCCACCCCCATTTATCCATCCCTCCTCCCTCTTCCACACAATAAATATCTTATTATTCACCAGGTTAAAGTGTACTTATTAAGGAAGAGCTGAACGAGAAGCCAGGATATCGTAGGCAACTCAAATAGAAGCAAAGACAGTGTATAGAAACCAGAATAGTCCTCATTATTATTAATAGAAGTCTCTTATTATTATTACCGTTATTATTATTACTAGTATAATTGTTATTAGGATAAAATAAAGTTCCTTGGCCCTTGTTGATGCAGAGAGAGAGGGTGCAGGCTATTGACAGCAGAGCAAAGGTTCCATGCTGCTTCTGTTCATCCCAGTGATTCGGTCAAATTTAAATCCATTGTTCCATGGTTAAAGGGGACATTATTCCGTGTGCCATCTCCTTCCATTCAGCTGAATGTAAAAGCATAGTTCAATTCAAATTCCACTGGTTTTAAGATGATTTAATTCCATTTTTATTCCGATACAGATTCGAAGTTTGGTTAAAGGGAAAGAAACCATCATGTGAAACTTTCCAAACAGGGATATTTCCTTTTTGAAAAGTCACTTTGAATCCTTGTAATCCCATAATAACGATGTGTGTTTTAATCTTTCGGAAAAAAAAGTATGCTCCTTTTTAAATGAACTCCTTTGGTCTCATGGTGGCATTTGTGGAAAATGGCAGATGTATATAAAGACAGTTTGGCTTTGTGAAGGCTGTGAAGATCAGACAAAAAGACGGGGACTGCCATCGAGAGGGAAAAATAACTTCATCACAAAACAAGAAATCAATGTAATTTGTCCAAGAGCTTACACTTAAGTTCAGTTAAGTTAAGTTCAGTATTTTAGTAGCTCAGGTATACTTAGCTCCATTTGGCAAAGTACTTATTTGGGATGATTGTAACCATCATCTTCCCCAACCCCTTTAATGCGGACCCCAGCATGTCAAAGCACCACAAAATTTTCAATGCAAAACCTGCCTCAAACTTTTCCTGTAATTTACTTTGTCCTCATTTACATCCTCATATTTTTAATTAGATACTTTTACCCCAATATGAAATTCATATTTCCTTCTCTTGTGTTTTATTCACAATTATTCATGAATATATACATATATAAATATATGTATATATTGCCAATTTTAAATATGACATTGTGATATAATTTGGAAACTGTAATAGCGACAGTGAGAAAATACTATCATCCTACATAGTTTATATTTTGGCAGTTAAACATCTGTTGAATTGTATTCTAGCAATGAATGTTTCTTATGTATCCATGGATGAACGGACATGGATTTCTGTGACACTGAAGAAAACTTGATGATAAATGACATTTATCTGTGTTTAGCTAGCTAGCTAGGCTCTCTTGGAAATTCACTCAATGGTGAACTTGCGTGTGTTGTGTTTCCATCTTAAAAAATCCCAGACAATGTCAAACTTGAGATACTTTGATTGTCTGGAATAAGTTTTCCAAATAGATATTTATGGACTTTTAACTGAGTTCTAGCAATTTATCTCCAGAACCTTCCAACAATAAAGTTCACATAATAGTGAAAGTGTCTGTTTAAACCCTGAAATATACCAGACAAACTGTCTCTATGAACATCTGCCACTTTAGGATGCCCTCTGTGGTGTTACCATGACGATACAGTCAATCCTTAGAACCTGCTCCATTCTCGGGTGTGCTGCATTCTAGAATTCCAGAATCCCAAATCCATCCAGGTAAGTTCTAGAACGGATTCCACCAAATTCTCCGCCCTCTCTCTCTGTCTCTCTCCATCTCTGTATATATTCAGCCATTTTGCAAACAAACAAAAACAGTTTGGTAGTCCCTTTCTCCTATAGCTGTGTAGTGACGGAGTCCTCTATGACCTCGCAGCTGTCCTCGATGACATCATCGCAAGGTCCCACCCAACCGCCCATCATCATCACCCCTCCTCCTCCCCCTCCTCCATCCACGCTGCCATCACCCGATCCTCCCATGCCTCCACCCTGGAAAACGTCCTCACTGGAGTCCAGGAGGCGCGAGCTGGACTCAGACATGTTGGAAGCACAGTGCAGGGATTGGCAGGGGCAGGGGGGCGGGAGGGGCAGTGTCAAAAGCGAGTCTCGCCCATTCGTTCTCCGAGGAGAGAACGACGGGTTACTGATGTCAACAGAACGGCCCATCTCGTTCAGGTGAGTCTCGCTTCTGGTCACGTTGCTGAGTCCAAAGTCGGAGTGGCTGTGGCTCCCCAAGGGGCGGAGCAACCCGTCAGAGATGGTGTAGGAGACTGGGGACTGAACAGGGACAGGCATGGGTGGGGCTTTGCGTTTGGAGCGGGAGAACAGGTAGGAGAGGCGTTTGAAAGAGTCCGTCTTTGCACTCGGACCTGATAGGCGCTGCAGACGGCTCCTTGTACGAGCGAGTGATGATGAGAGCGCTGAAGAGAATGATGAAGATGACGACGGGACAACAGAGGTGGAGGATGGAGAGATGACGGTCGTCTTCAGCCCATTGCTCTTTGGTTTTCCCTCCTCTTCCTCCTCCTCTGTCCCCCATTCAATACCTTCCTCCAGCTCCTCCCCACCTACCCCCCTTTCTACCTGGGTCATTCCAGAAATAGAACGCACCAGTGCAGACACGCCGAGCGTTGGTGTCGGCTTTGTGTCATCTTCTGCTGGAGTCATGAAGGTCACGCTCTTTGATCTCTGGACTCCCAAGCCTCCTCCGGTGCCTTCACCTGACTCGCTGTCGTCCTCAGATGCCATGGCACCATCATCTTTCGTTGTCTCACTGGAGGAGGAGTAGTTACGCCGAGGAGGACGCCGGTTCCCAAGGAGATCTAGGACCTCGTAGCGGAAACTGGAGATGTCTTGCTTCAGCTCCTAAAGATAGACATGAATTCATAATGTAAATCCTAAGGATATAACATTTCTTGCTATGAGAAGCTAAAATTGAGGTTTAAAAAAAGTAGCACTTCTACTTTTCATTCGGAGGGATGTACTGTTAATTCTAAATCCCTATATCAAAAAAATATCTAATATCCAAAGGAAAACCAAGAAGTAAAAACCACGGAAAGGGAAGGTGAGGGTGAGGAGGGTAAGTGGGAGAGATGAGGCTGATGACTGGCTGAGAGAGGGGAGGTGAACCATTAGTTTGTAGAAGCAGAGGGTGAAGAGGAGGGTGATGAAGAGAGGAAGATCAAGGTCAAGAGACGTGCAAGAAGAGAGGAAAACAGAGTGGATAAATCCTGAAAGTGAGTGTAAAGAGACTGGGGTTGGTGGAGGGGAAATGACGAGAAGCAAACATTTATTCTCAGTTTAGTTGGCATCAATGAAACTTGTAGGTTTAGTCTCAACTGCTTAACATAAAAGAAGAGAAAATAAAGGTTTAACATGGACAAAATGAGTAAGTCTGTTAACCCAACAGTATTAAAATATCAGAAGCTTCAGGGTTTACTCAAAGTTTCTTAAACTGTATAGCCACACATCTGACACCAAGTACTTCTGTACTGAAGATGACAGTGTAACAAGTATTTATGGCAATGCTAATAGCTAGATAGCCTGCTAGCGTTGCTACTGTACTGTACTAATGATATAGCTTCCTCCTGCTGATGGAAAATTTGTTGGTAAAACTGATGATGAAGTGACCAGCGTTCCAAACTCAACTTTTTTGACTGTTATGAATACATCATCTTGGGCAGTAAGATTGCAAGTCAGCAACAACATAGTGCGACCCAAATTTGGGAGACACGAGTAGCAAGAAAGGGGTGAGATAAACTCACTGATGTCTCACACCCTGTACCCGATATCACCTTTGCAAATATCCTATGACCAGAGGTGTGTTATATCTTGCAATACAATTGTAAAGAACAATTCCAGGTGGTATGGTCCAAAGTGTCACTTAGCACTGAGTTGTATTTGATTTTGGGGAATGATACTAGAGCACTTTCTTGTGGTTTTTGTCTTTAATGTCTGTAATTGCCATTGTGTGGCATTGTCAGCAAAATATAATGCTAGATCAATGGAGCAGCTAACTTTCTCTGAGTAAAGAAAGAAAGAAGAGAGAAGTGGAAACGTTATTCTTCACGGTCTTTAATGGGTCAAACCCTTAAAACTCTGGTTCTTCCACTTCCTACAAGGTACTCAGTAACATGAGACCATGAAATCATGATTTATTCTCCACACTTCCAATTTCCAAAGGACCTTGAGAGCCCTAGGACATACCCTCGTGTTTATTTGAACTGTCATTTCTTCTAAAATTGGTTTACAGTACAATCTAAATCTGTATAGCGACCCAGACATTATGCGATATCTATATTTCTGCGTATTTTCATGGAACAGAGACAAATTAGATCAGTTTCTTCTGACTGAGAGTTCCATCATGTTGTTTGTTTGTATTTTTTTGCTTCAGGCCATCTTTACTTTAAAACAACTGTTAACAGTTTCCATTTGTTTATACTCCAAATCTTTTGCTTATTTGTGTTACAAACAATCTGCATTCGAATTGCTTTGAATTTCTCTTCATCATCCGTATGATGTGGGTCTTCGTACCCAGTTTTCTTACATAATAGCTAGAGGCTGTGGATGGGCGGGGCCAAGCAATTATTTGTAGCTGTTTATTTAGTGTGTATATTATGTAATGTTGCTTTGTTCTTTTTAAATTGAGACCTTTAGGACATTTTTGGAAAATGGGATTCTACATCTCCAAAGATTAGCCTTTTAATCATTTCATCACAGATTAAACGCATTATATTCCTTAAATCAGTTGGTTTCTAGAAATGGATAAGCATTGAAGGGAAGGAATTGCCTCTCCCTTTTTCCCCCAAGAAGAAAGTAAAACAACTATTGGAAGATTTTCACTGTGTTGCTTAGCTCTGAAGCATCCACCAGGGAGGAGGGCTGATGTTTATTCCCATTCAGATCACGTGCATTGTGAATTTAGCCTGTAGCTTTAATACAGAAAATTACCATAAATGCCTGCATAAACATGCACTCTGTTTACTGTAACTCGCTGCTTGCTGCATTTTTCTCCTGCAAAACAGAGACCAACGAGACCCAAATAACTCTGCTAAAAAAAAAAAAATCCTTTTTGTCTTTCTCACCATATGGGATCCAAATGCTTCACTGGGGAGAGTAAAAACTGACTTCAGCATGCACCTGATCTTAGCTACGTGTTTTTAAGCACACAAACGCGCACTTTCTGCACAATTACAACTCCCGTATTCTACATTAGTACACACAGAAGTACACGAGCACACTCGGGGTGTGAACATTGATTGAGTATGATGTGCACCTGATGTTGTTTTTGCATTGAAAAACCCAGAGGAACTTTCCACTTCAAAGCCCAGGCTGGGCTCCAAGGGCTTCATGAGAAACAGACTCGGGAGGTAAAAGCAGCTCAGAATAATTTATGGCCCAGAATATTTTGGAAAGGCAAAGAAGCTCTCTTCAAGGGTTATTGACTTAATGGCTGGTATTGATGAGAGCTGTAGATTTGGGGCAGGAGGTGGTTATTAAAAATCTTTTGATAAATCTCAGTAGAGACAAAGAGTAGCTCTGCATCTGGTATCAGTGAAACCTGCACTATTATCACAGCACTAACATACATAAACATACATAAACAGTTGCTGTGCTCTGTTTCTGCAGACTGGCCTGTGAAGCTTTTAATTACAGATTTGCTGCAAACCTGAAGAAAGATGGATTTTACACTCATTACTTACAGCATGTGAGAGGTGTTCTGTCTTTATTCTGATCACCCACCTTAAAGTTTTCCTCTGTCAGTCCCTCGTCTGTCTTGGCACTGCGTATCATTGCTGCCACGTACCTCTTCACCAGGTTCCGGATCACTTCCTGTTGGAGACAGGTGCCATAATTTCATTGCTAGCATGTGGTTGTGGTTTTGTGATGGACCTGTCCAGTCTATGCTAACACCTGCTGATAGCTTCACTCTCCACCCTCTCTGTACTCTCAACTGCTCTTTCGTTGGTTACAGCCAGTTCACAGGTCATTGTTGTTAATATCAAATCAACCAATCACATGAATTTAGGGCATGTAGAGATTGTCAAAAATCAACAAAGAACTGAGGTGCAAGGCAGGAGGACAATCAACCCCCACCCCTAGGGGAGGAAGCAAGAGTTACTGAGAGTGAGGGGCAAACAAAGGGCAAACGCACACTACCTTAAAAGGATTTGGGGGTCAGGGTGTCAGCACCCTTGGCCACTGTACTAGTGTATTTCTATTGTGGAGGGGAGGAGACCAGAGGTTATAACTGTAACTGTTGTGTGGAGTTCTTTAGATCAGCCTTTAGCATAGGACTGCATAGGAGTGCAGTGTGCTGATCTCCAGATGCATCTGTAAGAATAATGGGTAATAAAAGGATTGTGTAAAACATGGAAACATCTCAGCGTGATCTCTATCAGGACCAAAAGAATCGCAGAGACTGGCGTTGTCTCAACAGTTTCCAGCAGCTTGTTGAATCTGTGCCATGAAGAATTAAGTTAAAATGCTAAATTGGGGTTTTTAAAAAGCCTTGAGAGTGTCTTGTAGTTCTTGGACGTTTAAGATTGTATTTATCTTCTCTGTAAATCCCTCCAAACAAATCGCCTCCAAATCAAGGATGTGCTCCTACTGAAAAAATAATCCCTACAAAGAGAAACTTCACAAACTTACTAAGTACTTACTATACTGGCTAAATCCATCTCCATGATACACTGACTTTTACTGATTTCTAATGTACTGAAAACCCACTGAATCTTTATTCATTCAGATATTATATCGTTGTGCTCTGTGTCTGTCTGAGCTGTGTGAACATTGCAATGCAGCACAATTCAACCCTGTGTAGGAATTTAAATGTTATTGTCTCATTAAGTAATCAGCCAATGAGGCGGGTCACCCTCATTGATTTACAGACCAAAGACAAATTTCACAAGCATTTGGTGCTCAGTGGGTGGCAATTCAAACCCTGACACACTGCAACAGTGCGCGCACACACTAACACACTGCATCCTCCCACAGTCAACACCTGTGCCTGCCAAACAGGACGGTCTGGCATGCTGTCACTCTCCGCCTCTGCCAAGACACACCACACACTCTTGTTAAAATGCAGGACAGATTCCTGCAGCAAACCTTAAAAAACATGGACAGATATCAAAGTAACAATCAGCACTGCCAAATACAAAGTACTGGCGTTCCTGCGTTTGTAGTCCCTGCCAGTGCTGAGGTGTCAAAATACAAGAGCTCAGTTTTGGTTGATTTGCTCTACTAATACTGAAAAAAATCCCCTTAAAGCTGGACATCAAACGGAGGGTTACAGCTGCCAAAAACAATACACGGTTTCGTTTACTGAAAAAGGTGCTCGCTGTCTTTGTAACTCAAAGTAGAGCAAAACTCTCAAAACACAAATTCACTTGGATTCACAGTAATCAGACCTTTTGCTATTCACGAGATGAAAAGCACACAAGCTTTTCTCTAGTGATTTTTAAGGCCAAGGGGGTTAAAAAATTCTCAGGTGACAATAGTTACCTGACGTTCAAGAGAAACAGTGAAGATGTTTCAGAGCATTTGGATTACATTGGCCTTATCAGCGAGCCTTTACTGAACCCTACAGCACCCTTGAATCATACACTTTAGAATCACAGATTCACTGGTTTTCAATGTTGAAGCCTCAACATTTGCATTATGGCAGCCAGATGGAAGTACTGGCTTTCTGAAGCCACATGTGGCCATCTTTGGACAAGAGTCAAACAAATGGAAGCGAGACCGAGTAGTAATACAAAGTGGGGACTTTACATATAACTCAGTGACTATAAACCTGAAGGCACTGAGTTTGCTGGCAAAGCAGTGTGGGGAAAAGTAGTAAGGACACTCCTACTGTATGTCAGTAAAGATGAAGACTGTGCAGGAACTACACACCTGGTAGTGCTGATTCTGCCTCAGACTGTCGGCATGACGCTCCTGCAAAGAGAAGAAACGTTGTGTTAATACATGGTTTTCCACATTTAGCAAAAAGTTCTTTTACTCCTGTATCTCCAAAAATGTGCACTCCCTTACAACTAAACTGTACCCTCACTTATGAGCGCAGGGAACGCCCTCTCTCCACCAAAGACCAACAAAGCCTACATAAGGAGGCAACAATGACACTTTCATCTGGTATATTTGGGGTCAACTCCTCTATGGGACCATTTTTATTAAGGTTTGGCTCTTCTTCTTCTTGCTGCTGTACCCTTTTAAGGGTTACTGCAGCAGATCACCTGCCTTTATCTTACCCTATTCCCTAGCATCCGCTGTCACTTAACCCTTTGCATGTCCTCCTTCACTACACCCATGAATCTTCTCTGTGATTTGGTAGATTGTGTTAAACAGTCTGGTCACTGCCCTCTCTAATTGACTCCATACCTCCACAGGATTGTCATGAAGCATAAAAAGTTGTACAAAATGCTTTGAGTGCCCAGGTAGAGTAGAGAGGCACTATATAAGACCCAGTCCTTTTACCAACCACTCTTCAACCTCTTCAAAGCTGCCCTCACTTTCTCCTCACTAATCCTCTGCACCTTTTTATTCACCAACTTTCCTCTTTTCTCTCTCTCATTTTCTTATTTTTCATAAAAAAACACTTGCAAGGTTTTGTTTAGAGTGTACCCTTTAACCAGACAACCTTCTTAGAAGTTTCACAATTTTTTGGGTTGTCAAAGCAGTTTGGGGAAGCTCTGGCTACAATATTTCCAGTTAGCTTCTGACAACAAAACCCAATTTGGAGCGGGTGGGCAAACGTTTCTGCCTGTCACTGTTTCAAATACAGGTAAACTGAAAGAAAAAAAAACTTTGCTGAATCAAAGGATGACAGCTGGTGAACTGAGCCCGGAAATTTGCTAATGTGTCCCCTCTTTTTGCTCTCCACATAGACTGTTTACCTTTGAGCTAGTCGAGCCTGTTCAAACGCGATTGTGCCACAGAAACGAGACTACAAACAGAAACCACAGATATGCATATTCATATCGGTTTATAGAGATCATCATCAGGATGATAAATCTGACATTTTTATAGAGAGTTTATCTGTCTTCTAGTGCCAAACTGAACCAAAAGCAGCCAGGTAACAAATTGATTTTGGGAATTTCATAAGAAAATTAAGCTTTTACAATCCTTCATACTAGAGAGGTGCCGAATAATGAATTTCATTTAATCATTTTTTTCCACTCAAAACGATTATATATGTAACAGTTTAAAGGGCCAAGTTATGCCCTTCATTCACATTTCAGTGCTGACATCCAGAATCACAATCATTACAGTGGCAGAAACGAGCAGAAATGTGAATCTCTCCTCTATAAAAGGCTTTTCTCACCTTATCCAATGATAAATTAAATTGAGGCGAGCATGCTGGGAGCATGAAGGTTATTTTTAGCGGGCTACAGCAAACCAAACCTAAGACACAGGACTTGTCACTCTGCTGCAGACTTTGCTGAACTCAAGAAGACAAACAGACATGAATACGTGCAGATTTCGCAATACGATATCACATATAGAATAACAGATAAATCGAGGTGAAACCGTTAAAGGAGTTCAGAAAAAAGTAGAGAAAACATCTGTTTTCACATCAAACCCATACAAGTAACCACTGCGCTAAAGTGACAACAGGTTTAAAAAAAAAAAAAAGCTCAGAAAACACAATAAAATATATGATCAAATTTTTCCTTTTAATTATGAGTCATTTTACTTTATGTGTATTCTGTGCTGATGTTCTTGTAGCTAAGGATTTTAAATGCAGGATCTAGACAGTTATCTGATCACAACAAATTAAATAATATTAATAAAAAACAATAAATCTGCAGTTGGCAAAACACCTCCCACCTCCACCACGACAGCTCCTCACTTTCCTGCTGTGTGACTTCATGTAATATCTACTGTCACATATGTCTGCGCTGCTGTTCTTCCTGCCTCTGGCTTTCCACGTTTGCCTGCTCGGTCTCACAGCAAAACATGAACTAGTCATAAAAAACAGTCTGTGTTTGTGATTCAGATGAGTTTGAAAAGAATGCATTTCAAATGGAAATATATTTGTTATCTGCCGCACGTGCACTCAGTGGCCCTTTTTTGGGTACAACTGCTCAATGCAAAACAGCATGGGCATCACATTGAGGAGGAAAGGAGATTAATTAATTAATTCTCTGCTTGGATTTTCCCACACAACCATCTTTAGAGTTTAATGAAAAACTATCCAGTGAGCAGCAGTTCTCTGGGAAAACAGAGCAGAACGGCCAGACTGCTTTGAGCTGATAGGAGCATAAACTCAAACAACCACTCGCTACAACCAAGGTATGCAGAAAAGCATCTCTGAATGCATAGCATGTCAGACCTTGAACCAGATGAGCTATAGCAGCAGAAGACCAGACGCCACTCCTGTCAGCTAAAAACAGGAAACTTAGTCTATTACTGTTATTTCTACCACCTCAGTGAAACTGGACAGAAGACTGGATAATAGCTTCCTGTCTGGTGAGTCTTGATTTCTGCTGAAACGCTGAGATTGTAGCGTCAGAAGTTGGTTTAAACAACATGAAAGCAGTGGATCCATCATGTTTCAGGCGGCTGATACTGTGATAGCATCGGGAATATTTTCTTGGCATGCTTTAGGTCCGTTAGAGCTTTGTTTAACCCATTAAAACCGCTGTGAGCACAAACTACTGTAACTCCTGAACCAATTGAAAAATTTCAGCAGTTCCTGAAAGCAGCAAGTCTGTGCTTTTCAGTGATATGAGAGTCACGGTAAACCCATGCAAGGTGCCTCCTTCCAAATCTCGGCAAATAACACAGGACACAGTAAAAATAATGGTACAAAGAACCCAAAGTCTGTCTCATCTGTCAACAAACCTTTGTCTTCTTGGGGCTGCTGTGACGCCATGACTGGGATTACTGTATTCACCCTAATATCATTGAAAAGTGCAGAGTTGCTGCTTTCAGGAAGCATTGGAATTATTTTAATTGTGCAAATGGTTCAGGAGTTCTGGGAGTTTCGGATGTTTAAAAAAATGTTGCAAAAACCTCTCTGACACCAGCAACAGGTTAGGCTTTAGAGGGTTAAATGCCACAGTTTGCATGAGTTGTATTGTTGCTGATCATTTCCATCCCTTTATGACCACAGTGTACCAGGCCTCTGATGGCAGTTACCAGCAGGATAATGCACCGTGTCCCAAAGCTCAAACCGAATCCACAAATCTGGTTTCTTGAACATGAGAATGAGTTCACTGAACTCAAATGGCCTCCACAGTCACCAGATCTCAATGTGATGCAGCACCAAACAGTTTAACCCAAACTACGACTTTCCAAAACATGTAGTTTTAATGCTTAAATCATTTTAAATAAAAAAAAGTAAAGTGTTTCACATCCAAATGTAGACTTTTTCTCCTTTTTAAAAGTGGAAAACACTGATTTCACGTAAATGCACACAAATCAGTATCTGACATACGAGAGCGTGGTGTTCAGGGACACGACAAAAGCTGAAAAACTGTGTTCAGAAACATAACTCAACTGGTCATAGGTTGGGAGGATTTTGAACATGGAGGAGCTGTGGTGAGATCCACAAGTTCATTTTACATGGTAATGTAAAGGCTTTATGGGGCAAAGTATCATTTTTTTAACCTCACACATCAACTTTATCACAATCCTAGACACACGAGAAACAGAGAGCTCATTCAAACCAATTTGCTCCTTTTAAAATCTCAACAATATCAGAAAACAGACGAATATTTGGCCGGATATTTGTCAGCCGCAGATGGACGTCAGCCGTAACTCGATGTTTCATTAGCGTCGAGACGACTAAAGTCTCGTCGTCCTTATCAGCATTCTCTCCCTTCATTTCTGCATCTGTCACACAAACATCCATCATCTCTCTCCTGTTTCGTATCTCGCATTTTTTCATTTTGTTTTCATCTCGGCCCAATCACGGCCGTTTCACCTCTCCGTCTCCACTTCATCTTCGTCATGTTCTACACTCGTCTAACTCGACCCCCTTCGAAACTGTCTCCCTCTCTTTCTCTCACTGCTTGCTGCTAATGCAAAAAACCCCGACACATAAAAAACTTCACTCAACCCCGTCCCTTTCTTCAGAGCAATCATTATTCTTCATATCTCACGCTGTTTTTGTGTTTACTCTTAATACACACGTACACACACACACACACACACACACACACACACACACACACACACAGGCTCTCTCCCTCGATCAGATCTCTGCAGTGTTGTGTGTGTCTCTGTGAACCTATGTGGGCTGGTTGGCTTATATAACTCAGCTGACTTCAGTTGAGGTGAACATGCCAGCTGCAGTGTGTGTGTGTGTGTGTGTGTGTGTGTGTGTGTGTGTGTGTGTGTGTGTGTGTGTGTGTGTGTGTGTGTGAGAATTATCGCTCTGCGCCGCGTGCTTGCCGGCTCTCTCCAGCTGACTGGGCTGTTAAATGTGTTTATCTGCCGATGTTCCTTCTGTGATTATAGAAACGCAGCTGATGTTCGTCCACGTGCGGTGCGATTGTATTTGTTAGGCTTTTTCTGTGTTCGGCTCTTTCTTTGCCTCTTTAATCCACCCTCACTGCGAGCAGACCGAGTCCTTCTGCTTTGATCAGGTGGGCGACTGCTCAGAGGTCAAAAAAGCCACATTCACTGCAGATCATTTGGATCTCCATGATTTTATTAATCACAAAAAGAACATCAGCTGACAAGTCCTTCCTCCGCCTCCCCACTCACTTATTGTACTAACTCTGCTGCTTTATGCTGCTTCTATTTCAGTCGGTACTTCACAGCAAACCAAACCATCAACCCGAAATGTTCAGTAATAAGAAGAAAAAGCCTGGATTTCTGTCAGGTTTCACAAATCTCTGTTACTCTAGTGTATGTAGGCTGATCACAGTTGTCTGTGTAATAAACCCCCAAAATTCAGAGTCAGCAGAAGACAAATACAGTATGTCAAAGTTTAAAAGAGAAACACTGCTGTAAATATTGTGGCTTTTATATTGGGACTACTGTCAAATCAATTTTGGCTAAAAAAAACCCCCAAACCCAAATACATTATTTTAATGAGAGCTTTTTAAATACATGAGGCATAAACTCCTCACAAGCAGCTGTTCAGCTTTTCTCAGCTAATGGAAATGGACTATCATTATTATCATTATTATTATTATTTAAATTTGTTTTGTTTCTTCTGTGATTCAGTCACACTCGAGCTGGGATGTCAAACTAATTTTACACCGTGGGCCGGACCAGTGAAGCTAATTAATCCCTGACATATCATAATATAAGAAAAACAAGTGCAATCTCAAGAATAAGTCCCTGATTTCTAAATGGCAAATGTGCAAAATAAAAATTCCTGGTAGCTTACCCAGACCCAGACTGTCCTGTATTTATAGTGGAAAATTCCTATGTTTGACACCCCACTAGAGAACCTAAAAATAGGTTAGTGACCTGATCGCTACTAGGAAAAATTGGTTGTCACTAGGGATGGGTTTTAATAATCGATTCATCGATTAAAATTGATTCTGGCTTGGATAACGTGACATCGATTCATTAAAATCCTGAATTGATTTTTTAATATAAATGTATTTTGCCCAAAATTCCAGAATCTCAGGTGAAACCTCACAAAATTTCATCAACCACCATACATTTAAAACTGTAAATGAGAGCAGGAACACGGCTTCTTCACAAAGACGTAAACACAAAGCGCCGACCCGCGGATCAGAATCAGTGAGATGTGACTTTCTCACCCGACGGCACGCACACGGTCGGCGCTGAAAGCCGACAGCTCGCTGATTCTGATGTTTCGGCGGGTCGGCGCTTTGTGTTTACGCCCTTTATGCGCTGATTCTAAAGCTGTTAGTTTGATCTCTCTCCAAACAATATTGACCGAACCAGCAGCAAAAGAAGATCCAAACTACGCTTCACAAAAACATCGTCATGAATTCTCTGACTTTTGCTGTTTTGCTTCCACCACGATAAAATCACACTTCATGCACAGCTCTCTCTCTCTGTACTTCAAGAACAGTTTCAGTCTAAAAATCTGTTTTCTGCATTATTCGCTTGCTTGTTACGCACAAGTCTACTGTTGTTTACAGCGCTGTCGGCCGATGTTTTTTTTACTTACTTCCGAAAAGAAAACCTCATTTCTGCCGTTCAACAGGCTTCTGAACAAATGTAAACTTTTTAAAATACATAAAAATGCCTGTTAGCCGTGTCTCTAACTGTAACTTCAGAGGTAATGTTCATATGCTGATTAATGGTTTTCTTTCGTTTCTGATCTACTGCAGAATACTTTTGTAAAATCCAGGCCAGGAAAATCACCTTCATGTTTTTCTGTTTTATCTTCAGCTACTTTGACACAAAGGCCTCTGCTGTGATGCTCACACCTGTGATAAAGTCTGGAAAGTGTCAGCTTCCTTTTTATAGATACAAAAATATGTAAATGTACTGATCTGAATTATATTATTTCTGACTGTCTGAGGCAAAATTTCCCAGATTCGAATCGAATCAAATCGAATCGTGGATCAAATCGATTCAGGACATTGTGAATTGGAATCGAATCGATTCTAGAAATCAGTGACGATACCCAGCCACGCAGTGATTGCACTGAATTTGCTTTTAGAGGCCGATTAGTTGACTAAGTAGTTGATTGATCAAGCATTTTCAATTATAAGGCGATTACACATGAAGACACGGTGCTGTCCGACTCGGGCTGACTGCATTTACTCTCAGACAGACTGGCAAGTCAGTCTGGCGCAGACAGATTGTCAACACATAGCAATCAATGGGAGTCAGTCTGTGCAGGTTAGCAAAACGTACACACAGTGTGCCTTTTTGCAATAGTGAAGATGATTCAGCTGTTTTCAATCTGGTTATATTCCTATATAAATCAAGCACCAGTGTCATTTTGCAGGTAAATAACTGTCCTGCAGCAACTACGTCCCTATTTGTGGACAAATTTCTGTCTCGGACGTAAGAGGCAGATGTAAGATGGCCTATGCATGCAGCTGGCGACAGATCTGCAAGTTCCCATTGCAACTCTAACAGACAGAGAGTTGAAATCATTGCTGTTTTGCTCCTGCACACAAGTAATTTCAAAGGGAACAATCACAAGTTTATTGGACAAGGTTGCAATAATTTCTCAAACCTCTGTCTTCCTTAGTGTGACAGCAGCATAAAAGTCCCCTAAGGAGCCTTTCTGAAGATTTTAGTTACATCAAAGACCTTTGTAGTACAGTTTGGCTTTTAAGCTTTTCATTCTGATTTATAAGCTAAAGAAGATCCATCTTTTCATTTTCAGAGTCACGGAGGTGTTTTCCACCCATCACAGGGCAAGAGATGAGGTCCACCAGTCATTCAGCCATCCACTCTCACATTCACACATATGGCCAATTTAGAGTCATCGGTCAACCTATCAGACACGTCTTTGGATGTCAGAAAGAAGGGAATACACACACGGACAGGTAGAACGTGCAAACTCCACACAGAAAAGCCCAAGATTCACTCCATAGCAGTTCCAAATACAAACAGACTAAACCACATTCCTGTCTGGGACTGGAGTGCAGAAGGCAACAAGGATGATACAAAGAATAAAGGAAATAAAACAATACATGTGCCTCAGTACAAACAGTCCATCCTTCCCATCAAATATTTTGTACTTCACTTTTGCAAGAAAACAGGGAAATAGTTATAATTTCCATCTTCCCGTTCATATCCTCAACAAATACTGAACATAACGCAGAGAGGGACTTGTCCAGGGTGGGTGTCTCTCACCCAGTGTCAGAGTTATAATCTATAACTACCGCTTGTCCTCGACATCGTCAGCAAGATTATGAAACAACTTCCAGGTTGAATTTAATTAAACAATGTGTAATATTTCTATCTCTATATTTCTATAAATACATCAGATTTTTGGTTTTGAAATTGTGTCTAGAGAGCAGATTGTGTAGGTTTTTTGGGCTCTTGTTTTATCTGTCTTTTATAGTGTCCTTTTCAATTTACAATTGAAAGCTTGCACCACCACAAGGTTGTGAAACCCTGCCGTAGTGTTAAACTCAGAAAAAGCAAATTAGAAAGATGCTGTGCAAACATCTGAACAGACTGTTGATGCTTTCAGTGACAAAATAATAATTTAAGAGGGAACCATTATGGTTAAGCTCAACAAGAATGTCGCAAACAGAATCCAGATGTGCGTATACTGTGAGCCTCTACCTTATTCTGCCTCCACTTACCGTGAACTCCCGCAGGTTTTCACATTTGTGCGTCTCCTCCCCGGGTGGCTGCCCTGTCCTGCACAGCTTGTTGTGGAGCCACATGAGCAGGTACCAGAAGGACTTGGGGCTTGGAATGATGTTGAACGGAGGCGGCAGCGTGCCGCCCTCGTCAAAGTAACTCATCCACAGCTTGGTGCGTGCAAACTTCCACTCAATGTCAGCATGGTCCTGCAGCAGGAGAAGGAGGCACCTGAATTTACAAGCTCAAGTGACAAGGACAGACATCTGAAATCTCTGAATTCCTCTTCATTAATGGTTGATAACGTCCACTGAACTTAAATATTTGACTTCAATATTTAACATATCAAATTCTCTTTGCAGGGAGCAGTTCACACCATAGCATGAAATCTTAACTTCTTATAAAAGTAATTTGATGAATTTCATAATTATCATTGATCTTTCAGATTATGGAGAAAACTTGTGGCCATTTTTATAGTGTTTTGTAATTTAACATGCAGTGACGGTCGCATCCTGATTAAAACAGAAAGCACACTAACCCTAAACAAACAAACTTCTCACGGTATAGAAACTGAGATCCAGAGTGTTCGCTGGACACATGACACCAAACAAGCTTCCCCTCACTCACTAATCCTTTCAGCACACTCATGCTTTCACTCACAGCAATGAGTTGGTAGGAGTTGTTCATCATGGCGATCAGCATGTTGAGCAGAACCACCAGTGAGATAACGTTGTACGTCCCGAACATGGTTGCCCCGACAAACTCCGTAAACTCGTGGCGAGCCTTCACGTTGGTGACGTACAGATTTAACAGCCCAAATATGGACCAGAAGAGAGACTGGAGAGTCTCAAATAACCTGAGGACAGAGAGAGAGGAAACTTCATAAGGTTCTTCAAAAGATCACAACAACAAACTGCTTTTAAACAAAAAGGATAATGCAACAAACCAGACAGACAACGCATAAATAGCTTTTATCTATATAAACCTGTCTCTAACTCCAAGCTTTAATTTGCGCATTATTTAGACACTCACTCAGTTTAAACCACTCGTCTCCCAGTTATGTGTGTTTTCAAATGCAGCTGACAAGCAAAACAAATTTAGACTGATTTGCAATTTAATAGAAATTCAAATCCAAACTGAACACTCAGCTAATGTTGTCAGCATGATTGATATGAGATTTAAACCACCCACAGGAAATGTCTTTTTGGGTAGAAGCAAATGTTATAAGCTGACAGATGTAAGTTCATTATGACTGGGCTAAGCAAAACTGCTCTCACATCGCTAAAGCTGCAGTGAGTGGAGACTAAAACTTTACCTGCATATGAGTTTAACATTTAAATGCACAAATCTGCAATTGTTATCAGAAAATGGCCACAGATCAGAGTTAGTAATATCAGTGCTGAGTTAAACCGAGTCGGCATTTGTTGGCGCAGAACCTGCATCCAGATGGCAACACATTACATGCTGCAGCAGGAGAAAGATGAACATCAAATACACAGTGATGCAGTTTTTTCCTGCACTGAGACAATACGGCGATGTGTCCTTCCTAAGGGTAGATTACTGACCCGCCGTCACTCCAATGACCCTGAAAATGATGTCTTCACACATTTCATTTTTGGGTAATTAGACATTTGTTCGAAATCTGTTTGCTTAATTACAAAATGCACAACCACATTTCCATCTTGGCTCTGAATAAAAACATGAACAGAGAAAGATAACACTTCAGTCCTAGAGAACTGGTTCAACGAACATTTACAGGTCAATCCTTTTCTTGGATAATTGACTGACTTTGTACCAGACCCCTTCCTGATGCAACCTTCCCATTAATCTAGGCTTGTGACAGCCTGAGGCTTGTTAAGATAAGATAACCTTTTGTTCTGTTTACCCCAAAGCTACTACCTAAAATGTTTTAGCATCCACAGGCCAGACCAGAGCAAATTTCTAAAATGATGAAATTGCTGTGTAAAATCGAGGTTATCAGGTGCACAGCTGTTCCCTGCCTCGGGCTCCCTGGGAGGTTTGTCCAGCTACACCTCACCCATCTACACCTTCACAAAGCTGTGTTATGACGTGCCGGTGATGTGGTTAAGGCTTGGCTTTCAAAAATTATTCTCCTTTTACAAAGTTCATTCACCTCAGGTTGCGTCCGTGCAGCTCACGCCCGCAAACTGAGCTCTTGCATTTGTCTTGTGACCTTTTAAGCACAAATGTCACTGTAGTAAAAAGCCCCCGAGGGTCTGCCTGCAATGGCGTGTGCGTTCAATAAATGCTCAGTTTGTCCATGATTAAAGCGGACCACCTGTGCTTCTGCTGAACACTCGTCGTAAAGGCAGAAAGAGACCTGCAAAAAATATGGTTCAAAAAACCAAAAAAGCCTCTGTACCTCACCTCGCTTCTCTGCTTACTCCTCAAATATGACCCACAACTGTTAATCTTGAACCCGGAAGCAGCGCCTGGATGTAGGTGTGATGTGTGCATGTCACTGCAGATAAACAGCGAACCAAACCTGCTTCACTCGGCTTTGGTTACAAACTTTGGGTTCGGACCTAAAAACAACTCCAGAAGTTTCACTTCTGTAATCTTCACTTATTACCACCCCAGGTTTCCTCTCCGTTTCCATCTGCATTGATTTTTTCCCCATTCTCTCTTTTCTCCCCTCCTTCCACCGACTCTTATCATCTCCCTGTGTCACTTCATTCCTCTGTTTACCTCCTTATTTTATTTCCCTTCCCTGCTCGGTCTGTCTCGGTCTCTCAGTCTTTTTTTCCCCTCTGTTTGTGTGACAGTCCCAGTTACAGGGGAGGTTATTGAATTTTTGATGAAACTGGTAGCGGCCGACACTACATCATGAGAATGAAAGAGCGAAAAAGAGCGAGAGAGAGAGAGGTTTTGTCTGCGGGGTGTTATATTTGTGCTGCATAAAATATTTAAGACTCCAGCATTTATTCTCATCGCAGCAGGACTGTGTGTTGTCACCGGCGTGTGTGAGTGATCGCTGTATCAATCGGCGTACAGGCTGCGTGTGAGCGATGGTTTCAATGTTTGTGTGCGCGCTCGCTCGGCGCAGAGAGAGACAGAGAGGGCGAGAAACTTCGGAGATTGTGTAAATGAAGAGAGGCGGGGTGAGGGAGGTTGGGGGGTGGGATTGAATCCACGATGAATGAAGCAACCAAGCGTGATATTGCACCACAGTTATGAAACGAGGGGGAGAGGAACGTGTTTAGGAGGGGAATGAACAATGAGCGGGAGGAGGGAGAAACGAGAGGCGGTGAACTTTCAACTGAAGTGAGGAGGAACAAACCTCCTCGTCTTCTCCCTCGAAATTCTCGCCAAGCAACATTTGATGCAATCTCTAGTATCCAGTAATTCATTAGTCCTCCCCTTCTCCACCTTTCTGCTGTTTCCTGTTATCCAAGCTTGGTTTTTCATATCTCTGCTTTGGCTTCACCCACTTGTCCTCGTCCCCTTCGTCTTGCACGCTTGTACCTTTTATTTGATCTTCTCTCTTTCTTTTCTTTGCTTGTTTCTTCTCGTCTCCTCGTTTGCATCCTCTCCCGTCTCATTGACTGTGTCCTCGTCTTTCACCTCACCTTATCTATTCTTTGCTCCTTGTTCTCGCTCATCTATTTTTGTTTCCTTCTCTCCGATATCCTTCCGTTTTTTCTCCATTCCTCCTTTATTCTCATGTTCAGTTCTTGTTTTCTTCCCTCTTTACTTTAACTTTTCCATCTCCTTTGTTTACCTTTTCCATTCCCTGCTTTTCTCACTTCCTTCCCTAATTTTTCCTTTCCTATTACTCTTCCTCACTCTCACCATTTCCACTCCTATCCTCACTACCATCAGTCCTTGTTTATTCTCTATTTTTTCTCATCCCCCCTTTCTCCCCATCTTGCCTCCTTTATGCTTCTGTTCTTTGACCCTTGTGTCCTTATTTGTCTCATTTCTTTTTCACTGTTTTCTACTCTCTCATCATTTCTTCTTCTTTCCACTTTTTGTTTCAACTCCTTGCTTTCTCTCTCTGTCCTCCTGCTTTCCTCACCTTCAGTCCTTTCTCTTCTTTCCATTCTCGCTCCAAATCTCTCTTCTCCACTCCATATTTCTTCCTCTTTCCACCTGCTCCTTCTCTCACCCATAACTTCAGCACTATCAGCCCACTGAATGCCCGTTATCAGTTGTTATCACTCCCATAGGTACCACCAGCAGGCGGCCTGCTCCGGCAGCTAGGTGAGTAAACAGTGACGAGGCCTTTGCCATTACAGCTCCAAATCTGTGGGACAGTCAGCCAACTGGGATCAGTGCTAACATCACCAGTGCCCTTTAAATCTTTTCTGTTATTCAAAGGATTTCATGAATGCTTTATTCTCTTCTTGTCTTTGGTATTTTTTAGCTTTCATCTATAATGTTTTGTTTTAATGATTTCCATTTTGAGTTTGTTTTTTTTATTGAATCTTTTAATCTTTTTCTAAAACACATTTTATGGAACAAACATGTTATATAAATGTAGTTTATTTTCATTCTATTGCGCAAAAACAATCTTATGTCTTTCTGCTGAAAGGGCAACAGAAAGGTGAGTGTTTCCTCCGTGACAGATCAAAAGTAGTCACACTGACATTGAAAAGAATCCACTGCATAGAGTACTGTGCATAAATCTTGTGCCACTCCTTATTTCTCTATTGTTTGTGATCAAAACGGGAAATAGTTGGAGTTTATTCAAACATATGTAAACACAGAATTACAGTATATGAGGCAAAGACAGAGTTTATACAATTCTAATGAGCTCAATAGTCAATATTTGGTGAGGCCACCTTTGTTCTTCAACACACGCTCTCTTAGGCAGCTTTCTTATCATTTCTTTAAGTAGTCTTCAGGAATAGTTCTCTAGGTTTCGTGAAGGACATTGAAAGCTGTCGAGATGATCCCCACACTGCTGAGGTCCGGGCTCTGGGGAGGCCGACCCATGACTGAAAGTGTTCCACTGTGTGCCTTTCTATCCAGGTGTGCTTTTACTGAACTACCAGTGTTTGGCGTCATTGTCATGCTAAAAAAGTGAAACTGTCCACCAATCAGATTCTTTCCAGACTGCACGGTGGATCAAAGTCTGATGGTACTTTTATGGCCTCACAATTTAATCAGTTTTAGGATCTCCAACGCACCTCCCTCCTGACCTATTCATTCGTCCTCGATCTACACAATTGTACAAGCAAACAACCGAGGACTCGCTTGATTTATGACCTCAGGAAACACGTTTCCACTTAATTTATGGCCTGAATTGCTGGTTTGATTCTTAATGTATACAAGAGGATGTTTATGGCGTTATTTTTGTGCCACTGTTCTGAGCGCACGTAAAAAAAATTTGAGCGCACGTAAAAAAAAATTGCAGGTGCAAGTGTTGCATTTTGAGGAGAAGTTGATTTTGAACGAAGAAAAACTAAATTTGAGTGAATAAAATTCATTGCTGTGTGCAAAAAATTTATTTCAGTATTTGCTATTATCCACACACGCACACACACACAACAGCAGCCCCTCTCGCTCAGTTTTTGCATTTGCGCTCGCTCGCAATGTGTTGCTCACGCTCTCAACATTTCTGCCTGTGCGCACTCAACTCTATGTGTACACCGTTATATTTGTGCCACAAAACCAGCCAATCACAGACTTGGATGCAAAAAAATCTGACTGGCTGTTCTAGTCTCCAATCAGCTCGAAATGACGAAATGCAGTATCCCAGAATGCATTTTGTCCAAAACTCAAACGAGGCAGTGGCGGAGGAACACAGAGTGGCAGAGTTTGAAATATTACTCTTTCTGGGTCACAAAATAAACTTTTAAGATATTTTCATGCGAGAATGGTGCTGTGTAA